GTGCGCATGGCAGGCGACCGGCAAGCAAAATCTGCCCGTTTTCAGACGGCCGAACTGCGGTAGATTTATTTCACGGGTGGAGCTGCCCGGCCTGCACGCGACACAAGAGAAAAAAACACTGCCCTCCAACCGAACCAAGGAGCGAAAGCCGGTTCATGTACAAAACGAAAAATTGTGTAAAGTTCGATTCCAGAAAATCTACCGTAATCAAACGAGGGCTTCCAGTTCTTCGCTTCGCTTGGCTTCTGGCGCGGAGCACACGGTGGCCCAGGCTGCTTGGCCATCCTCGCAAGACACGCCGAAGCCCAAGAACCTGCAATTGCAATCCCACAGTATCCAGCCTTCACCATAAGCCTCCATGTCAGCTGCAGGTAGGTCAGGGCCCTTTGCTGCCTCCATGATACATGGGGTCAGCGTCGTTCGGAAGCACACACTTCTACTCAGAAGGAATCTGTTGGACATGAACTACAACCAAGAAATTGTCTTGGTCTGTTAAATCCTGAGCCGTGCCGGTACAAACGAAGGTGCGCACGGCCCATGGCTTGGGTTCCAGTACTAGACAGCAATCGCTTTCAATTTCAGGGTGCAGAGCATGCAGGGCTATGTCAATGTCAAGCACTCCCAGAGTGAGGGTTTTGGAAGATGTTCCGGATGTCCTGAACGGTCGTGAAGTGTCTTGCATCTGAGCTTTTCATCTCAAGAACTGATGCATACCCCATATCTGGCTCAGGCCTGCAGTGCTCCAGAATTCCAACACTGGGTGTTCAATTTCAGTAGGGCCTCACACGTGTGTATGCCAAGGCCTTGCCAATTACTTGTTGAACCCTCAGAGGCCCGACAGCTTCTTCAGGAGCCAGCCGGATGAGCCCCTCAACCCATTATGGCATGCCTGGCTGTAGAGACTTGACTAAGGGATTGCCTGACACTCCTCATGAGTCAGCTTCAAGAGTCTTAAGCTGAAGGTATGCCGGACGCCTTTCAGACCGTCTTCAACAAAAAGTCCCCATAAAAGTGTATCCGTCAATTCGAAGATCAAGCCAGTCGGAAAGCTGCAAAGTTGCCAGCTCCATCTTCAGCTCCTTCTCCCGCAGCTGCCCTTCCTGCTCCAAATTCGTTGAAAACGTCTCAGCATGAAGACCCTCTTTGACTGCAAGCTCACGAAGTCCTTCACTTCAAGCTTCACGGCTTCAAGGAGCTCGCTTTGCTCCAAAAGCCTGCCATTCGCCACTTGCCATTTAGTGCCAGGCAGAGCTCAAGTATTTCTGCTGAAGTTCAGAGAATTCCTGCTTTTGATGTCAAGAGCATGCGGCTTACCACAACCTAGATCTCTGTTGGGGCCCTCTTCAGGTGCAAGTGTCCATGCCGCATGGGTCTGCGGATTCTGCCAGAAACACATCTGGTTGTACATGCAGGCTTGGGTAGATAACAGGTCAGCTCAAATAGGCCGAGGGTCTCTTGCTGCAGTCCATCTGCCCGAGCGTGCGCACGTTGGACTTGCGCCAGCCCCTGCAGGCGGTGCTGGAAATGAGAAGCTTTGTCGGGTACTGTCATGCCTGCAGCCTGTGAAACGGGCTGCCAGCAAAATCCAAGTGTGGAAATCTCGTCTGGAGACTAAAGTCTTTGAGGATCCACCATCAGTTGTAGAAACAAACCAGGGATGAACTGCAGAAAGGGAACCCTGCGTGCATCGCATCTGAGTGCATTGAGAACACGTGCAAAAATCACGCCGTGACGCACATGTACAACTGTTCGACTTTGGATGTAGGGAGACGTGGGACTAGTCCAGGAGCCTGTCGAAGCTGGGCACAATAACGCAACTGAAGCGAGTAAAAGCGCCGTTTTGCGGCTTGCATTTTGACCAGACATTGCAACCAAGCCCATTTACACCGATCCAAATTTCATCACAGTGCCATCATGTGATGCCAAAAGGCGCACCTGCTTTCCTGCAAACTCGGGCAAGGCACCTACAAGCACGCGGAAACGTGAGTGAGTCGCCACGCGAGCTGAAAGAATACTTGCCAGGCCTGCTTCCCTCTGCCGCTCGTTTGGCTCCCAGAGCTGTTCCAGGTAGCTGAAGTCCCCCTGTCAAAGCTAAGCAACCGTCATACCCTATCGTACCCTGTCCGGAGTTCGACTTTCTGACTCCACCAGCTCAGGTCTTGGATGGCCTGCAGACTGCTAGCCTGCCGAAGCCTTGGCATATCCAGCAAAAACATTGATGCCAGGATATGCCAGGTCCAGCTTCGTCAGCAAACCCGCGCTCACTTCTTGAAGTTGGCTTTTCATATTCAGCTCAAAACCTCTTTGCAAATCTGCACTGCTTCTGTGAAGACCATCTCCATTGTATAGTATCTCATGAATGTTTTTGAACTCCATTCAGAAATGTGAAGCAGCTGCTGGCCCAGGATTCAGGATGACAAGCATGGTTACCAACACGACTTGGGAATCTGCGGCAAGCTCTGGTCACGGGATAGTTGAGCAGATGCCTGCGTCGGCTGCCAAGTGTGACCGCTTGCTGCAGTGTAGTGCTCATATTGCTGACTTCCGCTCAACGGCCCCAGGCCTGCTTCAGCAGGGCTGCTGAACCTTCCCAGCTTCAGATGTTGATGGGGATCGATTCATTTCACATCCGCTTCGCCTTGTGCACCAGCCTTGAGCGCGTAATGCAAGGCAGTCAGGCCTCATAACACAATACATGTGTGTTTGGATGTCCTTGACGTGCCCACGTCCAAGAAAGTTTTCCAGACCTTACCATCTGGCCTGAGATGCAGGCCAAACATGTCCTCAGCGCTTGCGTCCTCAAAAGGATGACCGCTTGCGGACAAATGTCTGTCCACACCCTATGCGGTTTCGCAAACAACTAGGCCAAGGAGCTGCCAGACCCTCCAACAAAAGCCGCGTGCAGTGCTCCTGCTCCACATCCCGCATATATCTTAGATCAAAAAAGCCGCGCTACTGCAACATGCAGTCCGCAACCGTGTGCACGGGATTGAGGACCTGATGCATACCGCATCTGGCAATGCAGGGCTCGGCTTTGCTATCGTAAACTGAACAAAATGGAACATGACATGGTCAAACGGACAGCAACCCTCTGAGCAGCTCAGCTTTCGCCGCCTACTTTCTCAGCGCACTGCCAACACTCTCAGTCTTGCGAATCCATTGCCGCGCATTTATGCAAGGTTTGTGCAGCTAGTTCATGCGGCATCCTCGTCTAGATGGAGCCACTTGATTTTGGCGTGGAGACATGTGACGCCACTGCATGCACATGCTGGGAACCTGGAGAAGCTGGAGTCGCATTCTCTAAATCCCCTTTTCGGATAGCATTTTGGACGGTGAGGCGGAGTCGTTAGTTTCCAAGGCTTTCAGTTTTACTCTGTCATGGGCAGAGCCTTTGTTCTTTGAGTTCATCTCGGCGGCCCTGATTAGCAGTCCACCCAGGCCTCTGCCTCGTTTACACTGTGTGGAATTTTCAGAGTCTGCTCTGAAGAGCTGGCGTGGATGTAACCCGCGATGTCTCTTGTTTGCTTTGAAATAACAGCGAGGGTGAATGCAGAGGTGCACTCGACTCTTTCCAGGTCCTCTACGAGCCGAACGCGTTCTTCTGGGTTCACGATGCGAAAGCCGAGCAGAGCTGCAGCGTCTTCGGGCTTCAATCCCTTGTACCACGGCAGCGCTTCATGCAAATGGGAATTCCAATCGGCACAGGTGCTTGGCGCAGCTGTGCACAGACTCGCACACTACGAACTCTTTGTCCACCAACGTCTTCACAGGCTCTTCCGTCAACGCGGGCTCTTTCTCACATCCTCTCCAAGTTCCCATCTGCTGAGCAAGGCTCTTGCCCTGCTGCCAGGCAGTCGCATTGGAAATGGCCTGCGAGTCCAAAAGAAGAAGCTCACAACTCCCTTCACTCACCCAGCACCGGGTCTTCAAGTAGGAAATGCAGAGTCTGGTGAGTTGAGTCTTCTGGTGGTTCCGCCAGTCACGATTTTCACCTAATGCCTCCACCTAGGGTATTATGTAACGTAACTGCTAAGCTCTCGATAGCTCTGGTACGAATAGCGCAGCGTTGGCGCCAGGGACTTGCGCCGGTTGCTTGATTGCGTCTAGACTTGGTCGCACCTGGCGCCGCAGGCCCATTTGACACTTCGGGAAACTGAGACCAGGCACGGGTGTCAGTCTGGTTTGCAGTGCGTTGCGATGTGTGTTCACCTCTTACAATTGCTCAGATGCCAGGGTAGCCGAGGCTCCAGCAGCATACGCCAGTGGACATCGGCCCTGCAGATCACGCCTCGCAAAGTACTCGTAATATTCAACGCCCCAGCCACAAGAAGAACTGAAGGATTTGCGCCTGGTTGTCAGCTGCGGCTGCTTTGCCAATAGCAGGTTGCAGACCTGCGGCTCCTTCTGATGGACGCGAGATCTAGAGGCTGGTGCACATTAGCGGCCTTACAAGTACCTTAGACCTTAACTACCTTAATCTGAAACTGGCGCCCATCCTTGCTGCACACTGCCAAGTGCAAAGCAGTTCTCCCGGCTGCATCCTCGAACCACATGTGATGCTGCTACCCTGGGAATGATTTTTGACACGGCCTCGGCATCAGCGGCACACCCGCGGTCAAGCAACACTTTGACTGCCTGCATCTCAGAAACACTGCAAGGAATGCAAAGCGCAGTAAGAGAAATGTGCTCCTTTGCAGTTGCATGCAACCCACTGTGCATTACCGTCCGCTGCAGTGGCCACCAGGTGGGACCCCTCTGGAGAGCATTGCACTGACTGCGTGTAATGCATCCTGAACCTACTGAACCTACCACGACTGCACGAGAGAACTCGCAGGAACAGCAGAGGCTCTTCAAATGTGCTCTGATTCGCTTCATTGTGCCTCTGCTGTTGTATGCCGCAGTACAAGCTGGAGCAAGCAAGTGGTTTCCACTGGCCCCGCGATCATGAGCTACTAGTATCCGGTGAAGCCATACAGTCAAGCCGTTGAAGGCCGTCCAGATCACATGCCTAAGACACCACAAGTTGGATGCTCCAGTCTCTGTGTCAGCTCAGCAAAGCCACTGTTGTTACTACTAAGCTGATTACTACAAGTTTTACTTACTATATGAGCTACCTACCTGCTTTGGCCAGGAGGCGTCTTCGCTTTCTGGTGCCAAGGCCGCCGGGAGACTTCAGCAGACTCGCGGTCAACCTCCCCACGTCACCGAAAAGCTGCTCCTCGGCTGCTCCGTAGTCGACACTTCTGTCAAACGAGATGCCAAGTCTTCTTTTCTGCAGGCAAAGCTCTGTGGCTTCATTTACCGGAGCTTCCTTGATTTCAGCAGGCTGCAAATGCTTCCAAACACTCATTCTCAACAAATTGGTTAACATCATTGATGGCGGTAAAAAAAAAAAGCCGCAGCCTCCTCCTCATCCTCCTCTTCCTCGTCTTCTTCTCCTAAGAGCGTGAACAAGGTGCCGTGCTGTAACACTGATGCCTGCTTGACAAGTTCGAGCCCTCTCCTCGTCCAGAGCCACCGCGGCCTCTGCGGCTGCGCCCTCGCCCACGCCCTGCCCAAGGACAAACACACAGCAGACTCATAACAGGCTTGTGTGAGATTTGCAGCGCCTCCACGTCCCTTGGCACCCTTCCACAAGCTGGCTGCAAGGGGCTGCGAGGCAGCTGGTCGCTTCAAAGCCTCAACTAAGTGCAAAATTCTACTCTTTGAACAGCACCAGAAGCTCATTTGAGGATTGGGTTGCTAAGTGCCATCTGTAAGGGCAAGAATGCGCGGCAACATGCTCTGAGACAGACATCAATGCTGCAGCACCTTGGAGTCATCACCAGAATCCAGGCCAGCTTTCCGCTTCTTTCCAGAAGAACGGGCTTCTCGTGCCGCATCTTCTTTTTGGTATATTCCTCCTGGGCTGTTTTTAAGCTGCGAGAAGGCTGGCGGTCTGCCGATTTCTGCCAGGAGTCGGATAGCGTCCTCCAGCTTGTCAAGGTCATCATTCCACATCTGCTGGATGGATGTCTTTTTGGTGCGAACCTTTACATGCAAACAGGCAAATGAGGAAGCCAGCCCTAGTGCCTAAGCTGGGATTCTCGCCAACTCATCGCCTTTGCTTTTGTACAGCTTCCTGTCAAAAGTCATCTCAGTCTCAAATAAGAATAATAATAGCAATAATAGTACTACTAGTAATAATGGTAAATAGTACTACTAAAAATATTAGGTAATAATGGAAATCAAAGTAAGAATAGTAAGAATGCTCCTCATCCTTGGTAGACTTCAGGTCCTTGATGCAGCCAAGATTCTCCAACTCCAGCTTTCTTTCGAGCGTGAGCGTCAAGATCTGCATTCCCAGTAAATACCTCAGCGTTTCAAATTGAGGTTCCTCCAATCGACTGGATGAACCGTCTGCCATCTGTGCTAAATGCTGGCTGCCGGCTCAAAGCCCGTCCTGCAAAGTCTTTAATTAGCTCATCCGAATGATATGGTACGATCTGCACCTGTCCTGGGAGGCGTTGTGTCTCCAAATCGTCGGAACTTGAACTTCACGAGATCTTTCACGACGTCTGCCTGCTCTCTCACACGCCGAATCCGCCGGACAGATACAATGCAAGAATTGAGAAGGCCTTCTTTCGGTTGTTCACGTGCAGCTTCTTGGCTATAATCATGGCCTTATTTGGGATGTTGGCGGGAGTGCTGAATCCACTCGCGTCTATGTACAAGCAGCTCTTTGGAGGTTTTGGGGTCCAGGCAATAAACCTTGCACGATTTCCCAAGAGCTCCTTCGTGCATAATCACTCGCACTAGCCAGCCGCCGAATAGATAAAAATGTCCGACGGAACGGGCATCCTTCTCAAGAGTAAGCTTCTGGATCAGGTACTTTTTTCGTCTGTCATACCTGATCGGGAACAAGCACCGACCACGCACATCAATATTGCTCGGCTCACTTACTCGTACCTCCCACATTCCCAGGGCTTTCTTGCAACAAGAAACACAGATGCAAGCGACACCCTTCCTCCAAAACAAAGTGTTACTCTCCGCACGCTGCGCGGCATCTTCAATCGGACTTTGGCAAACTCTTGCATGATGTCTTTCGCACTCTTGTACTTTGTGATACGGCCTTCGTTGTCGAACAGCACCATGTTGGTCTCGTTGATACTGGTCTTCAGGCGCATTGCTACTTCAATGCCCTCTTTTTTCTCTGCATCCTTGAGCTTATTGCCATCCATACGAACAACGAAGTGAACGCTCCGTTCTGTGTGATACTCGCGGACCTTTACTGCCGCAGCTGTCCAATCCGTCTATGAAGACATGATCCCTCCTCCCAACCGCAATTAGAGATGTCTGACTTGGGATTGTTGACTGAGCCAGAGGCATCATAGATGTTCAGCTTCGCTTTCTTCTGGTCCCCACCCGGCATGTTGCTTTGCAGAAACCTTGGTTAAATTGCATGCGTTGTCCACCCCAGCTAGCGGCAGCAGGACCTGAAAGACCAAGCAGCTCTTTGTAATCCTGCGTCCACTTCCGCAATGGCAGCTCTGTAATCTGCAGGATTGTGGTGCTTGTCTTTGTGTATGCACCGAGGCAGTCATACTTGCCTGAACAGTCGTTCAGCATTGCCACCCACTTCAGTAAAAACGAAATAAAAATCGACCCTGAGGCAGGCAGCCTTTCTCACCAGATGGCTTGATTGTCCCGGTGAATCCTCGATACCAGGGTTGCATGGCGCGCACAGGCTTCTTCTTGATGAACAGTCGAATGTTCGCCTGTGCGGGCTGACTGGCACTTGGAGCACATCAGCCACAGTGCAGATCCGGCCACTGTAGCCAGGCTGCAATGATATCCAGGGGATTGTAGTTGGGGACTGATGTGCTCCATCCGGTTCCTGGGAAACTCCACGCATCCAACAAACGACTGTTGAACGGATTTCTAGCAAGTCGAGATGCCAATGCCCTCGGTACCGTTCACCAGAATCATGGGGATGATTGGAGCATACCTTCAAATCGATTATGGCCGAGGCATACGGGGGGCAAGAAGACTTGGGCTCTGACCAGTACGGCTCGATTTTTTGCCCCTCCTCCACCTGACACATGCAGAGCTTCATCAATGCCCCATCACTGACAAGAAAATGAACCAAGCTTTCCGGCCTGATACTCAAGCACGGGATCATCCAAAGGGCTGAACAGCAGCCGTGTGATGGCAGACAACCTGTGAGACACAGCAATCACCCTTGTCCTACTATTCTTGCTTCCGCTGCACTCGAGCAGCTTGTAGTGATGCGGAGGTTTGCCCTGCTTCACACCATGTCCGAGATGAGGACCTGGTATAGATGTAGCGCGCGCTGGCTGCATCCTGACCACATTATCACAAGCTTGCTCTGGGCAGGAAGATCACTTCTGTGTGAACCAAGCCTTGCCACCCTGCGCTCGCGTCCCAAACTGCCCGGAAGGTACCAACAAGTTCAAGTTGTTGGACCCCACGAAATCCTGCAAACACTCGGTTGAGTGCAGGAAATGTGCCCTCCTCTCGAAGAAGCATCCTGCGCCATGGAAACAATCGTCCCTGCAAGTGATGCTTCTCCGTGGTGGTAGGCGCTGTGCTCACCTGAATCTCAGCTTTTGGAGCAAAGGTGCTGGGAATCGATTCTGGCTCAGCTGCGGACCAACGTAGCCCACCAGCTGGGCCACCTTCACATCTGACCGGAGATTGCGCTTGAAGCAGCAGTATAGCACCTGAACAGAGCAGGATTTGGCTTTGACTCGTGGCTTGCGGCTGGACAGCCTTGCGCTGGGTGGGCTTGAGCCCATCCATGACAGAGGGGACGCTCCTCATCAGGTCCTAATTCAGCAGACAAAGCCCGTCGGACGACACGATGTCGACAAGTGAAGTCCGATGCCATCATCGTGCAGCAAAGACTCATAACGTGAGAACTGCACCAGCTCTTTGTTGACCTGACATCGCTCCGCCCTGTGGAGGAAACCTAGTAGCTGACCCTGAGCACTCAGCAAAGTCTTCGTACGACACCGCCCGCTTGGAGTGATCCACGAATGTTCCCTCCTGCAAAAGGGGACGGCTTTGTCAACAGCAAATGCTTCGCCACACTTTTTACTTTTGCGCCTTGTACTTGTTCATCCACGATTTCCGATCATCCGAGCGACCCTTGTTGAAGGCCATGTCGATCAATTTGTTTTCGCCTGATCCCTTCCACCTTGGTCTGGTTAGGTTGACAATCATTCCTGTAGTCAACTGCTATGTTGTTACATGCTACATACAGCCAAGCACGGCTTGGGACCAGACTTGAAATCGATTCGGTGGTCATGGATGTTTCCAAAGTACTCTTTGGCTTCAGCTGCGGTGCTGGTCCCCAGGCCCTTGTAATACTTGATCTTCCAACCAGCACCATCCCTTGTCTTGGTCTTCCACTTCTCGTACTCGACCATCGTGAAGAATTGTATCACATGCCCATCCTTGGTTGCCTTCACAATCGGAGTCACGAACTGCTGGAGGAAGCCCTTGTTGCCTCGGAGCCTCAGTTTCATCAAGCTGGCCTTCAAGTGGCGTAAGATCCACTCAGCCATTCAGACGAGGGGCAAGTCTGGCCAGAAGTAATGAAAGAAATTGATGAGGAGACCCTTGATGTGGGAGCCATCGTAATCTTGATCTGCCATGATCATGACCTACGCAAGCCAAAGTCTACAAAGGACTGCCTTAGTCCCCGCTTGCTTGCTTTTCTATACTTATACTCTGCTAACCGAACGCTGTAGGATTACCACCTGCGAAAGCCACACTGCCAGCCCGCTTTAGCTACCAGGAGGGCATGAACTGCACAGAAAGAACCCCCAACTAGATGCGGGCTTCGCATCTCGTGCTATGCATTTTCTTGATCGTTGCGCCTTACCGTAGCGCAAGTCTTGCAGCTTTTTCTTGTCGAATGACAGGCCAAGGATCTTGACGATATTCATTGCCTGTCAAGCTCTTACTCAAGCTCCACTACATGCGTATGAAACTTTATTCGAGCCTCTTTGTTTTCAGCCAGCGCTTTCTGGTTGATCTCACGCACATTCAGAAGTTTCCCACGCAAAGGGAAGACCTTGCATCCCAGAAGCTCTGTATTCCCCTGCAGACTGCTTTCAACCAGCATCTGAATCTGAGTGTAGGACACCATACTTGTCACGCCCGAGGACTGCCAAACCCGCCACGGCAAGAGCTTTGGCGCTATCGCCTTCTGTTAGGATCAGCGTGCATTCCTGTGCGCGATCAAGCCAAGTAATGCATCCACTCTTGATTCTTCTGGCTCAATGCATAATGCCGCCTTGGAAAGCTTGCCCCCTGCACGACATGTGTCGGCTGAAGCAGGCTGGCTTGGCAAGGCGATGAGAAAAGAACGAGCCTGCTTCGTTTGCATCTTCCAGCTTGGGAACTCCCAGCCTTGGCGTGAAAGACGAGCCGAACACACCACAGGCCGGAGGGGTTCTGGGTCTCTAGAGTCTTTAAGTGGAGCACACTCGCTTCCCATGGCTCGATTTCGAGATGTTCTTGTCCATTTGGAGAGTCATCTTAGACTGGGCCTTTGGAGGTTGCCCCTCTTTTCTGCGCGCAGAAAATTTCATCCGGCCTCAGCGATGACGGCATCCACAATGCCTGTATTGCTGAGCACCTTCAGTTGCAATGTCACTCAGGTCGACAGGATGTGACGAAATATCATAATGCGCCTCATCAATGAAAGCCCGGGGCAGACTGCAGCTGCTCCCGAATTGGGAGGCCTTGGCATTCGGCAGCTGCGGATGAGGCATTAGGCCAAAACACACAAATCAAAAATGCATCCTGTCAACGGTGGAAGCCCTGGCTGGAACTGTGGATTGCCCCGCGCCTTCAGTGTCATCTGTTCCTTCGTCTGTGAGCTGAAAGCAGGGTTCTCGATCAAGCCTCATTGAGAGAAGGCGGATCGGAACGCTTTATCAGCAGAGAAACGGATGCACAACTTCTGCGGCAACAATCCCACTTCGTTTGTCTAGGGGCCAAGCAGTTGATGAAAAGCCATAGATGGCTTTTAACGTGCCTTGGCGGACTCACTGCTGCGAATGCCATGCTCTCACGAGCAACGTCTGAAGCGCCAAGTAGCACTCGCTTGATCTCGGTGCCCTTGCCAGCTTGCTTTGCAGCCTCGAAAGTAAGTATTGAAATGTAATATCGACAAAAGAATTCCGCACGGGCACTGCAAGAGAAAGGCCTTGCTAGAGATTGCATCGACGAGCTGGTCTAGAACATAGTTGACATGCCTTCAATGCAAGCAGCATGGGTTCACTTTGCCTCAAGCATAGACTGTCAGCTGTGGACATGAATCAGTTCAAAGGAGGTGCGTGCCCCCTTTAGGCGTACTGATGGCATTGACGAAGGAGTTCTGTTGGAAGCCATCACCGTCAGAGCGAGCCACCAGCACCTGGCAATCAGCCAGAACACAGCAAATGAGCTGCAGAGCCTGGTGCATCTGCCAACAACTAGGAACATGTGCCACAAGCAAACTCCAGCAAGTCAAGCATCTCGATGAAAGCTACTGTGGAAGCGTAACAGGAAAATGTGGAAACCTGACATCGTCTCGGTCCGATCTGGCCTGCCAACGCTTGTTGATTTGTGCGTAGGCGTAGCCGTCCTCACCGTGGAAATGCTGGCAGTAGTCCACGAAGTTCTTTACATTCAGCTTTCCTGATGGATGCAGGTAGCTGCTGAGAGGTTAGGCTACTTGTGTTAGCTTGCTTGGCACCTTGCTACTGCAAACTTCAGAAGCTTTGCCAAATTATCCCAACCCCAGAGCAGCCCCGTTTCTGTCTCTCTCGCCACCCGACATGCGCATGCGCTCGCACACAAGCATCATCAGTCTTGTGAGGGCCTGGTTTTCATCCTTCGTGTGCGCCTTAACCTTTCCGTCTCGACCCTCAAGCCCAAGTCGGGGTGTTGGAAGCTGGGTCCTGTTCCAAACCTTATACGTAGAAAGCCCGTCACTTCAGCCTTCATTCGGCGCTCACCCGTGCCGTGGAGCTAAAAGGAGGCCCAATGATCCAGACCGGATGGGATGATGATGCTAGCCTTCCAACAGCCGGCAGCATGAGCATTGGTAAATCTCTCTCGCTCTCGGGGATCCAACCTTCAGGCACTTCGGTACTATTGACATTACACGTCAGATTAGAAGAGCTATCCGGGTTTGCGCATTCCGCCTCAAAAGTTGCGGATGATCTCAAGGGAATTCTGGCGTCTCCCATAAGCACCAACAGCCGCATGTGTACGCAGCTTTTCTGAAAAGCCCAAAACCCGCTTCTGAGAATGGAGACACAGACTGATGATGCGGAGGGGCAGGTGGGAGTTTGGAGATGGGGTGCTAGTTTGAAGCATTCAAAAGCCCACTCCAGCCCCTTATCATGGCAGCGCTGGCCCGCCATTACATTTAGGCCTGAGCCGGGAACCTGTTCCAGCGCCGACAGGCTCGCCACAGCACAATCAATGAAAGGTCAAGGGGCCATGTGCCCTAGGACCATGCTGATGCTGACCTCCTCTGGCTCTCTGGGAGTTTGAGAGGACTTGGGGCATAATGTAATGAAGTGTGCCAAGGGAAGCCGGCAACAAGAAGGCCTTGGGCTGTGGGGATTCCGCTAAGTTGCCCTTTACATGGGGGCCAGCCTATGCCACTCGACCTGGATTGTCACATGCAACTACTCCTGCCACGGAGGCTGCATTCCAGAGAGCTGCACATTCCAAGGGCAGAATCAAGCATGTTCCAGCACCTCTGCCCTACACCATAAACAGCATGATGACTGAAAGCCCGAAGCATCCAACCGTAACAGTGCATGCGACCAAGATGCGCCCATTCAAATACACGGAACATCGATCTCCACTTGTGCCTGTGAGAATGTTGTTGGCCGTGCAGGACCAGGGTTTGGAATTGATCAAAAGCACAGTTGTCATGTCACGGCCTCCGATATCGTACACTCTCCGCATCATGAGTGAGACTGTGTCAGCCTGGCCGTGGCACAGAACAAGAAACGACACAAACCACATTAGGCCACAAATGCCTCACACGGTACAGGATAGTATCTCAGTACCTCAGGAACCGATGCGATCTCCGCTGCGGGCCTCGAGGTCCTTCATGCCAAACTTGGCCAAATCCTTCGGGAGGCATCGCTGATACGGAAGCCAAGGAACCCTATTAACCCGGTTCTTTTCCAAAGTGCTGCCATGAAGCTGGCCAGAATTCCACACAGGTATAAGAGGCTGATGAGGACCCTTTGGTGATCTGCGGCTTTCCCTTCTTGCCTTAGCTGGCTGACTCCTGGCTGTGTGTAAGCACCATGCACCCCTACACACCAAGGCACTCATGTTACTTGTCCACTCCTGCTTGTACTTCTTGCCACCCCCTGCAAAGTCTGGCAAAATGGAGGCATTCAGCGCACACAGCAGATCCGGCGGCCTGCGGTCTCGATGACGAATTTCCTCGCAACGCACGCGCACAAATACATCTTCAGTCGTGCTCGCAACAGTTGAAACACGCAAGGCGATCAAAACTTGAGATGGGTGCAAACAGGTATCTTGCTGAAAACGTTGGTGAGCTTTGCACCATAACCGTTGCGGCCTCCCGTCACCTTTCCTCAGAGTTGCTACCCAGCCTGCTGCTCGTATGTGGTTCTCAACGCTTTCCAAAGGCAACAAATGACGAATCTATCAGTGAAGTGGCGCTCAGAGTCATCGTAGTTATCACTCGTGAGCAGGTGGCCAAACACCAGCTCCGGCACAAAAACCTTGTACTTCTTGTGCCTCAGAAGTTCAGGTCTCCTTTCCTTCACCAGATGGTCCCCAAAGCAAGGCATGGACAGCTTTATGGGGATTCCTTTTCCGTCATTCCACACCTTGATCCGTCCTGCAGGATCACATCTTTGGGATTGCCTGGTGTGCAGACTGCTGCCTTGATCTTGTTAATGTCCTTTGGCGCGGTCAATGTCGACCTTGATCGCCTCTCCACTGTGAACTCACACACAGAATCAGCTCAGGCGTGGCATCCCTAATTTGCCTTCATCTTCGGATCTCGCTGCAGGTTGTCAGCAGCATTGACAAGGATCTCGTCAAAGACTTTGTACAGCGCCGGTACATAGCTGATGTTTCTATAATCCATTTCCCCCTGACAGAATGAAGGAGGCATGACACCGAGTCCACTCTCAACCAAATGAAACCTAAATGTAACAATAGTACTGGCACGAAACTTGCCCTGAAGAGACTATAAAAGCGGCAAGAAGGCAAGTCAGCAGCCATGGCCTTCTTGTCGTTCCAGACCCATAAGGATTCATCCTGACCCAAAGCACATATCGCACATGCAGGCCTTCATGTGCCGGCTTGAAGCACAAGACATGCGTGCTGGGAACCTGATGTTCTACGGAACCCACATAGGTATCTGGACCTCGGCAAATCCAAGATCACCAGGTATCCCTGCAAAAATAGCTGTACCTCTCTGCGTCACGGTAAGATTTGCGCGGAGGAGTATGTGCTCGACCTGCAGCGTGAAATTGCTCTTCTAAGGAATGTCATTTCTGCAAAGTGAAAGTCAGCCTGCGTCTTCTTCTGATACGTTTGCTCCACCGTCTTGCTTCGCTTAATCTTCGGTGATCCAGCAAGCCCATCGTCTTCGCCTGCTGGCCCATGCTTCACAGTAAAGATGTCTGCACATTGCCTTCACTGCACTGAAACCCCGATGCTCCAATTCCTCTGTCACCGGTTCTTGCTGGCCTTTGGAGCCTCCTCGTGCTCCTCGAGCTCCTCGACCTCTCCCTCTTCCACGTCGGCTGCGACTCCTGCAAGTGAAGCTAGCGCCCAAGGGGACGTCCTCACGCCCTGTTACAATTCGTTGCAGCTCCTCCCACGCGGCATGATGCGGCTGGGCCGAGGCTAGATGTATAGTTTGTGATTCTGATAGGCGGTGGCTCATAAAGATTCTGCAAGTCACCTGGACCCAGCGGTCTTGAATTTGCTGGGATGCTTGCTGAAAATCCTATGCCATGCCGTTTGAAAATCGTACCCCATTTGAAGCATGTGCACTCGTCTAACTACTTCATTGCCGCAATGGCTGGGAAGGTTTCGGACACATGTCGCATGCAAAGATGGATCACTCGTGGGCAACAACTGGAAGAGAGCCTCCGTTCGGCCATGCTCAGAAGCCAGAAGTAGTGGTGTGCGGCCATCCAAGTCACAAGCCTCTCATCAAGCAGAAATGCCAGCATGAGGCAACTGAAGCAAAAGGTAAGACGCAGCGGTTGCCTGCCTCGAGCAAAAGACCGTGGTCATGCAGCAGGGCTATCATCTGCCATGGTTCACATGGATGTGTTACTGCTGCACACAACAGATTCGCACTGTGACACTGCCCTTCCATTATTAGCATGATCCACCTAACTCCTCACCCGCTTATACGTAGCGAGTCCGGTGGGCGATACAGAGTCGTTTTTTCCAGCAAACGCAGAAGGCAAGAGTGGTCGAGCCTGTCACGCCTTACCGAAACTCACTCTCCTTGAAGCACCGCTGCAGCTGCACAGTCACGTATGCTTCTTCAGCTTCACAGAACCTAGGCCATTTGACCGAAAAGGTCTGATCATCAAGCTGCACCCAGTCAAGGTTGGCAGGAGCGGGATCCCTCCCCATGCCCTCATAGCAGGCCAACACCTGCTCAGACGAAAAGGTACCACGAAAGGTTGCTGAACGCAAGCGAGGAAAGCAGACATCACGCAAGTTCTCCAGTACAGACGATACGGATTCATCCGCGGCAGTTCGAAAATAGCGGGTCATCTCAAACGACCGGAGCCCATGTCCAGCAAGGCGCAGTGCCTGAAAGGCTCCAGTAAAGTCCGCCACGCAGCCAAGGCTTACCTTTTCCAAAGAAAGCTGTCGCAAAGCTTCTTGTAGCCCAGCTGCCGTCAGTTGATTGCCAGGTCTGTAGAGAGACAGCTCACGCAAATTGGGGCACGAGACTGCAAGCGCTTGTAAAGCCACATCCCCAAGTCCCACCACGCCCGACAATATCAAAGTCATCAACGTCCGGTGTGGGCCTAGCACTTGCACGAAGGCAGCTCCCTGCGCAGACAAGATCAGTGGCGGTCCAGCACGCTCGGATACTTCAAGGGTCATAAGTCCTCCTTGATTTCCCGACCTGCTCAGCACGGACAGCAAGGTCGATTCGGCAATTTGTGGGGCCCCAGTGAGCGTGAAAACCAGTGACAGCTCTCGAAGCTTCAACGCACCTAGCGCCGCAATGCCATCATCAGTGAGTTCATCAACACCCTCCAAGTGAATCGATCCGAGATGTGGAGCCGCATTGACGGCTGCTTGCATGTTGCAGTCCTGCAGGTCCCGCAGCAAGCACAACCTCAGGGGGTAAAGGGGTGGCAGGATTCTACTCTGAGATCAGGATTTGTTTTTTTCACACAACCTCAGCTCCGTCAGTGTACGGGGCAGATCCTGCAAGAAATGCCCTCGAATGTCCTGCCCAACAAGATCATAGTCTGATAAATGGAACTGGACCAAGTTTGGGCAGCGTCTCAGGATGAATGAAAGCTCTTGCTCACCCATACCCTCGGGCAGCTGCAGCACCAGTGATTGAATGAGGTGACCGCCTGCCTGCAGTGCGTGAAGGTAGCTCATCTTCCAATCGTCCAGACATGCAGACAGCATGTGAGAGAGCTGTGGAAATCGGGAGCTCAAGATCGGAAGCGCCAGCAGGGTCGGGATGGAGGTCTCGGGTGACACTGCAGCCAGATAAGTGAGCCCATGCCCCAGTTGAAGCCACCTTCGACTGCAGGCTGTGGCCTCGAGAATGTCTGTGAAGGGCAGCAGGGAAATCGCATGCCCCAAACTGGAGTCCGCTAGCTCGGAAACGTGCAAGCCGGCCATCCGCAGCAACGACCTCCACAAACAGATCTACAAATCCACTTCAAAGGACTAGCCGCCTAGCCGGACTCCTTCGAGAGCAGAGGGCTTGCGGCATCCTACCCGGCACATGAGATGACCAGAGCCCTTAAAGGCCTAACACCCAGATCCAAAAAGGAGCTGCCCCGCCACGCTTCTAATAAGTTCTTGTCACTTTATTTCTCACAAGCCTCGTCATGACCTGCTCTTGCGGCTAGGTGAACCGCACCTAGGCCCACGGACAAGGTGTTTTTAACCGAAAGGACAAGGAGTCGGAAAGCGCTGGGCCTCTGCCATGGCCATCGGCTGCTGCCATGATTGCACGGCGCTGCCGACCTACCCATCCCCAACTTCAGCACAGCGGAGGTCCACAAAAAATCGTGGTGCAAAATGCTTGGCCTTGCAGGTGCCCCCGAACCACCTAGCAGTTGCTGCATCATATCCTGCTTTATTGAATCTCTAATTCCAGGCAAGGTTGACAAACAGCGCTGGCGGGACATCCAGGATGCCCTTCTCTGTAGCTGTGAGGAAGGCCTTGTCTGGAGCAAAAGCACTGCAAATCGTAAACTCGGACAGCATAGCTATGCGTCGGTGCAGCCGGGTGGCTTTTGCTTGCAGTGATGCCTCGCTACGTCTGCATGTGAGCCCGCACAATCAAAGAAAGTATAAGCGACAAACAAAACAGTCCTAACCCACGCTAAAGTAATGCTGCAGCAGCAGTAGCAGCACTAGCAGCACTAGCAGCCGGAGGCCCGGGCCTCATGACCTGTCATCGACTCTGGAGTCCAGACCCTCACGGACTCGCTCGGTCACGATGAAATGCCTCAGAATCACAAAACACTTTTGTGGTTTTGCCTTCAACTCACGGTCGAGGCTTTGCCTGCGAGGCTGCAGGCGGCAGCCCAAAAAAGTGCGACTGTCGGGTGCCACAATGATGTTTTAACTGCCTGCTCGAGCCAAATCGCGAGGTCGATCCCGAAGTTGTGCAGATTCAGCCAGACCAGGTCAACTGCCTACAGGAGCTCCAGTTTTTCCCTCATTGCCGGGAGAGGTCGTTGCTCCTCACTTTTGGTGCAGCAACCTGCTGCCAGACTGAAAGGCATTGGTCAAAGGACAGCTCAACACGCATGCGACCGGCCTCGTTCTCAATGGACTGCATGAAGACCGCCGCAGCCTCCTGCGAGTCCTTCTGCAAGCCTGACCACCTAGCACATGGAATGCTTCCTCGTGCTTGTAAGTAGCCTGAAGACAGGGGTGCAGACCACCGGAAGATGCGAGACGTGACTTCTGCTGCACCAGTCATTTTGCACCGGATGGTGCCATCCTGAACTCCAGCTTCTGCGCATCAAGTCAGGAGCAGTTGTCTTGCTGGGCTCTGGCTGGAGATGGCGGAAAGATCTCGACCTGAAGCAAAGGACTTGCATCATGCTGGCGGCCTTGTGATTTCGTTCTGCTGAACCTCGGAAATCTCGGAATCTTCAGTGAACGGGTAGCCCAATCCTGCCTCGCAGTTCTTGAACCACTTCCCGCGCAGAAAGCAAGCGTTTGGAGCCTCCACTGTCTGCATCACCAGGCGGAACGGTCCCTCTGCGGGCTCCTGCTGCAAGACAGAGCAGTGCAGAGGCAGGCAGAGGCAGGCAGAGGCAGAGTCTCAGACAGCCATCTAATGACAGCCTCCAGCTCCTTGCATTCCCGAGTGCAGAAGAAGCTCCCGGACTCAGTTGCAACTGGTGCTTTGCCAAATGCTGCATTCGCCGCATGGTTTAGCTGAGAATAGCACGCTAGCGCTGTCTGCCTTGTGCCTGAGAACCATGCCGAGGCCTCTGGCAAGTTGGCAAAGGAAACATGGAAGCGCAATGAGAAGTCTGAGTACCAAACCCTGCTTGAGTCGCCCAAGCCTCAAAGCACTGGATTGGCCGAGAACGGATGTGAGGCGAGTCAGCCGCACTTGTTGCGAACAAGCCCAGCTAAAGTCAGGAACAAGCAGGGTGAGAGTCAAGGATGGACCCAGCACATGTGACATATAGGAGCACGGGAGTTCCGAACTGACGGGAACAGCCTTGCAGGGAACAAGCCAAAAGTCCCAGCAAGAATGAAACGCTCCTCAGCCCAAGACCCTGAACCTTAAACAACTAAACCAAGAAAACCCGGCCCAAACCTTGAACCGAAACCTAAACAGTTTTAAACAACCTCATACCCTAAAACCCAACAACTGAACACCTCAAACCTAAACCCTAAACAATCCCACTAAATCTTTTCCAAACAGCCACCAACCCTAAACCTCAAAACCCGCAACCCTGGGTAATCCCGACCTCTGAAAAACCCAAACCATAAAGCCTAATTCATCCCTAAACATTCCCAGGCTCCAAAATCTACTTCGAATCCATGACCCAAAGCAACCCCAAATCCAAAACCCTCAAAATAAGCCTTAACTTAAGAAGACCTAAAACCTTAAACACTGAGCAACCCAAGAATTTAAGCAGCTCACAACCCTGAACAACCGTGAAGCCCACATCCAAACCCGACACCCCATAAATGCTCAACAAGCCCAAGCCCCAACACCAAAACCCTACCAAAAACCCTAAACAATCCTAAGCCTTGAAGTCTAGTCAATCCCTGAAAGCGTACCAAAGAACTTCAAACCCTAAACGATCCTGGACCATGTGCCCCAAATCCTGAGCCCTAAAGGAGGCCAAAGCCTGAACCCCTAAATAGCCCTGAACCCTAAACAACCTATGCTGTGTTGATGTTCCCAACTCCCGCTCTCGCCTCACTACCTTCTGTTCCTGGCTCGTGCTCTCGTCTGGTCTCGTACAGTCTCTAGTCTCTTGTCCTGCCTGAGACGTGCCCGACTCGATGCACTTGCGGCTCACGCGACTAACTTCCCGCTGAGAGCTGCAAAGGGGAATCTTGCTCGCACGACACGAGCCACGGGCTTGCTTTGGCGGGAGGCTTCTTGCGAACCTTGTTCCTAGCGCTGCCGGGCTTGACTCGAGTTCTTCAGGTGCATTGCCGGATTAATTGCTGATTCGGAAAATCAAGTGCTGATGCCGTGGCCAAGTTTACGGAGAAAAGGCGTGACATTAGAAATTCCGCCGCGCTTAGTGTGAGGGAACTCAGCGAAAAATTGCGGAGCACCCATGCGGCTCCCAAACAATTTGGGAAGAACAACTCCTGAGCTGAAACTGAAAAGAAGGGCTCAAGGCCAGAAGCTTTCAGCTTCCTTGGATTCGCTTTTGGGGGTTCAGCCAAAGCACAGTCATGGTTACGTCTTAGATTGAGGGGTATCGCTTTCGGGGGGGGCCCTATCGGTTTTGGGGTTTCTTGCGCGATTCCTGCATCTCACGGCATTCCTTCTCTTCGTGCCTAATACGCGAGTATTAACCATTGCTCATATGTATCCCTCACGAAACTGTCCTCAGATTACCCTCATGAAAGCCTACAAACCTTGTGCCTAGCGTGCGCGGACCCAAAGGCCTGAAGGTTGAGACATGGAGACCCGGTGATGGCTGATGATGCTGCCGTGGAGGCCGGCGACATCAGCATCAGTGGGTCTCTGTCTCGCCCCTCAGGCTTCCGGTGCGCACATGCCCCCTGCTTTGCTCCTGTTGTCCGCGAACATCTTTGTTGCTGTCTGCTTTTCAAAGCGACAGAACCAGCGAACAACTTCAATGCCTTCCTCCATTCAAATTTGGTCTACCAGTCCCGCCCTACATCCATGCACCCTTATTGGTTTGAAACCAGTGTCAATAGGCTGTCCCGAGGGCACCACTGTTACTAGAATCTCAGCATCTCAAGTTTAAATGCTTTGTGAGTCTGATTGTTGTTGCTTGACTACAGTGGCCAGCCCTCCCATTGGCTCAGGATGGTTGCTGTTTGCGGCCAGTGCAATTTTCATGCTTATTGCCAGAGCACCTACTGGCAGTCGACTGCTTACTGAAGATCCGTGTACACTCAGTCCCTGGCTGGACAGCTTCAAACTTCTTCCTCGGGTTGGCAAACGGGGCCTCATCTTGGTCTTGCTGAGAATCTGCGACATCCTCTGCCTGGCACTGCTGTGTAGAGCTGCAGCTGCAGCTCTGCAGCTCTGTTGGTAGAAATCTCGATTTGGCCTCTTCGGAAAGAGAGCTCTGCTTCTCTCCGTTCGGCTCGCACTTGACCATGCTGAGGTCTGCCGTTTGCAGGACCTCGGCTTTTCATCCGATAGGCAGGGAGACAAGGCGGTTTTTGAACCTCTGGGTCTGACCGGGTGTTCCGGCGACCTGGCAGAGATGGCAAAGTCAAGTGACCTTCCCCAGGACCCTTTCTTCGATGGCAAAATTTGGTAAGCATCTCTGTGAGGACCACTGCGATGGATCTGCAAACTGCGCCCAAAACTCTTCGCCTGGCGTCTCTTGCCTGTAAGCTTCTCACGCCAACTGGCAACCGAGGAGGAGACGTGATGCCCCTTTGAAAACGTGGTCCGCTGTCCAAACCTTTTCCAAATGACAGCAAAGAAGCGAAGCTGTTTACAGACTTCTGACAGCTATGCACCTGACGATTTTGGCAGGACCAAACTTTCGGTACAAAAGGTGGTCCGCAATGTAGACCGCCATGACCTTGTCTGCCGGCTTCTGCTTGCTTGAGGCCTGCTGGTATGACTTAAGCGGCCCGCCGCAAACACGAAGACGCACCACCAAAACAGGCAAAATTTGAAAACCTCTCAGGCCAACAACATGTTCACGCGACCTCTACTTCGGGCTTGCTGGGTTCTAAAGAATCACCGGGACGCGGACCATAGGATAAGCAGCAAGGAATTTGCTCTTCTTCTCGCCCTTGCTTTCATTGCGAGCTCATTGCATACAACAATAGCACGCAGGAGGCCAAACCAGGGCATAAGCTAAGGCATCTAGGCCGCCAGACAAGAACATCAAGTGGGTGCGCAAGAGACTTGCACGCACATAAGGCTGAAGGTTGTGGAGAGCACGAACAAGTTCCACTCTACAACCGACATGGGTCGCATCAGCAAGACATTGCACATGCATCTGGCAACTGAAGGGTAAACGACCCCATCGAGCTCAAGAATGTGCCAGCTAGACATATGTGAACACGGTGCAAATGCACACAAGCACTCATGCTGATAGCTCTGCAGCAAGTGACCACATGAAGGTAGGTGTGGATACCAACTGCGTCTTTGGGCTAGGCGAGAGGGGTCTGCGTGGCTCGAGCGTCAAACCTGAAGAAAAGCTTTTATTGCAGCCCATTTGCACTGGAGCAAGCAATGATGTCAGGACAGAGTGGTGGCTGTTCAGACACAGTGACAGTTGCAGGGTTGAGGAATTTAGCGTGCAGGGGCAGGTGGAGTCAAAAGCCTTGGGCTCGTTGCTGCTTGAGGGTATGCAGAGAGGTCGTCTTCCGGCACAGAGTTTTAGCAGGTGTCTGGGTTTGAGGCTTTCTGACTTTCAGTGTATGAAGCTTTGGCGAGGAGTGTTAAGAGAATTTGAAACGCATGCTTTTTTTGTCTGAAGGTCTGTGGCTGTAGACTTTTTTTGCTAGCTACGCCACCCTTGATGTTCAAATGCGTTTAGGTGCAGACTCGGATTTGGCACCCTGTGGGCAATCCTGGCATCACGGTTATGAGTCCAGAATCTGCTAGGCCGGAGAGGAAGACTGCCAAAGAAAGGTTGCATTGAAGATTTTAGAGTTTAGCGTTTAAGGAATTGCGTTTTCCGATTCTTGTTGGGGAGTTTCAGTTCTGATGTTTAGGGATTGCAGCTTTAGGCTTAGAGTCTTCAGGTTATCGTTTGTCGCATGCAGGGTGTTCAGGGCGTACGGCAGTTTTGGGTTTCGGGGATAAGGGCTGAAAGTCTCGCACGGTTCAGTCCTTGGGGGTTTCAGTAGTTTTGATTTCAGGCTTTTGGACTTTATGAGGAGATGTTGGATGAAGGTTAATGAGATGTGCGGCGGGAAGAGACTTGACTTTAGCACCCGGAAGAGGATGCCCCCTGAGCCACGAACCACCTTGACTGCAGTGAGGCTTCCACAGATGAAACAAGGGAGAAACTCATCAGGAAGCAGAAGCTCTGGGAAGGCAGCCTGCGTACACCCACTGAATCCTCGAAACCCTCGGCGGGCTCTTGTGACTGGCTGGAGGTGGCTGACTCCAGAATTTGAGAAGAACTGTCTGTGCAGGTCAAAGTCCCGTTTTGTGCTTGCTTTCTCATGGATCCCTGCCGAGAAGACATACGAAACAATCCCTAGCTTAAGGGTTGCAAACGCACGAAAGAAGCGAGGCAGACATCAGGTAGAACCAGCAGTGGAAACAAGATCTTGGGCAGGCTGGCCTGCCCTTCTCCAGGAGCAAGCTAGAGGTGGAAAGACTGATGTTAGCAGCTCAACCAGACGTACAAAATCTCCAAGCAGCGTGCCCCATAGGCTGCGGCGGAAGGCAGCCTGGCAAACACCAAGCGTGCAATCAAAGGAAAGAATGGCTTCCAAGCACAGCTTAAGCTTGGCAGCTCTACAGGAAGAGCAGTGTGGCGACCAGTGCCTGCGCCAACTACTCCCCCTCAGGATATTCTAGGGTGTGGTGGAAGTCAGGGCTTGAAAGATGCTTCCTTGATCCTTTACGACTGCTTATACTTGATGCTCTTGGTTGAGCATCTGGATTGGTCTGAGGAGGAATGCATGCAGGCTATAATGGCAGAGGGCATAACAGCATGTCAGACCTTGAGGCTTGTCTGCCAACCAGGGCGGAAGAGTAAGGCCACCATGGCCCCAACTTTCTTCGGTTAGAACGGTTAGAATATCAGCGTTGCGTTGCCACTCATCTTTGGGAAATGAATGACACCTGACGTTAAGCAAGTCAATCCAATAGTTTTAGCGCTGCAACGCCCCACTGCGGGCTTAAACACTGGAGCCGAGTGGCAAAGCACGGCTGACTTCGATCCCAGCAGGACGACACCCCGAGCTGCATGCAAAATCTGCGTGATGTCTTTTCAATGTAGATGAGAGCACGCAGGTGCAGGTATGTCGAATTACGAATTGATCAAATTACGCTGCCTCTGTGACGAAACGCTACCAGGCTGTTACCATAGATGCTCTAGCTCCATGGAGTGTCGGCTTGACATTCTCAGCCACCCCCGCGGGTTGCCGCCAAGCTGTCACGCAACCCATCCTGCACGCAGTGCAATCAACATCAGGAATAAGCTGCGCACACGTGCCAGCAATTTCAGTTGCGCAATGGCCGTCTTTTTGGCTGCCGCTCAATCCCAGCTTGCAGTGATGCGCAGCGTGTCCGTGCTGGGGCTCGGGGACGCCTCACCGGGCTTTGCCTCCTGCAGCACAGGCCAAGAACTTGCCATGAAAGCCTTCAAGGCCAGTGCCGCTTTGTTCCTTGTCGGTGCTGGAGGCACTTGGAGCAGCGCCCTTCCTGCCACGTTGTCGTCAATATTCAGCAGTGAACTTCTCTGTCATGAATTCTCAAGCGTCCATAGGCCTGAACCCCGCCAGGGTCGTCGATGTGGCCTCTCTCAGGCACCCACATGCAACCATTGCGAGTTTTGTCGACAGACCTTGCCTGAGATTGACGCCACATAGAAAGGAATTCTTTGGGTGGAAGATCCTCACTCTCAACCCATGCTTGTGCGAAAAAATGATATTTCACTGGGTTTTCAGATACTGAGGCAAAATCCCACGGAGCCACCAGCCTGGGCAGGTGCTTTCAAGGCTTCAATTGTTTGCAGCGGAAACTCAGGGCCGTTACGGCTTGTCTGCCTCAGGCAAGTAATTCCAGAAATTCGGCTGAAGAATCTGTTGAAACAGCTGAATGCGGTTGACACAATACTCCAGCTCCAATGCCTTGTCATTTGACGGCAAACTTTTCGCATCGCTTCCAGGTCTCTCCTGACTCGATGCCACTTAATTGATCGACGCCATGGAGAGACTTTCAATCCACCAACCTCCAGCACTCTTCGCCGCGGCTGCGGGAGATCTGCAGCTGCTGCGTCCCCTCGACGGAATTGCACAGACCTGGGGAGTCCAGTCCAATACATGGTCAGGGAGGTGATGTTGGGCTCAGGCTCAGGCTCTGTGCTCACACGGCACAGGGAAGTTGACCCGTCCTCTCGGTCAGTCTCCTTTGGACAAGGCCTGCAACAAGCCAGCTCCAAACAAGTGGCAGCACCCATCTTCTGTGACTTGTTCGCAGCTAGTGCTGAGGCGGGTGCGGTATCGGGCCCGCGCTTGTCGGACGAGAGAGCTGTGGGGTCATCAGTGTTTGCACAGGCTCCGGCCTCGCTGCAGGCACTTAAGCATACCAGGGAGGTGGAAAATCTTGGAGCTACAGAGTCCGCTTGACAATGCTGCGGCACATGCGGCAACCCGCTTAGAAATTAGAACGGTCTCTTGCATCTCAAGACGCGACTTTGATTACTGGCAAAGAACGAGTTCAGGCAAATTGGCACCATGGGCTTTGCCAAAGCTGATGAGTGTCTTCGCAAGGCCCACATGGCCCACCTAGATCCACCTAGTAAGGCTGTGCCTTGTTCTAGAGTTGGCTTCAGCAGGTGAGTCAGAGGACTGTTGGAGTCTCGCGGGATTGTATGCTGGGCACTCGACCGAGCCCGCTCCTGGTCACCAAGAGATCTCTGCCTCAGTAGCTGAATCTGGATTCGCATTTTCAGCAGTTTGCCAGGGCCAGCCACAATTGCTGAAAGCCTTGCTGGGTGGACATGGCCTGTCACCAGCCAACAGCTGCAGAAAAGATATGAATCCTGTGGCGCTAGGCAGAGTTGGCCTGTGTCAGCTGCATCCTCGCTTGCAAAGCAAGAGAGAAAGCTAACCCAGCTATTATTCTCATCCTGAGTGCTTGGCGCTAAAGCCTCTCGCTCTCGTTGGCCCAGCGCCTTAGCGCAAAAAGCTCGCACTTGCTCAGCAAACATCCACAGGCTGCTGACCAGTTCTTTGTCATGCGCTTGTCGCTCTGCCTGCATCTCGGAAATCACTTTCCCAACCTTGGCTGTCGGGGGGAGCGGGCTGTCCGGAGAAGTGCATTCAGGAGACTGAGGAGCCCAGCAATCGCTTGGTCAGCGGCCGCCTGGCCCACGGGCGAAGGGGCAAGAAGGGCTTTCTGGCTTTCTGACAACTTTGCTTGGCTCCCTGGCCTTGGAGTAGGCCAGCTCAGCCGATCCAACTGAGCTCCGCATTTGGACCATGGCACTCTCCGCATGTTCTCTGAGGAGCTGCAGCTCCTGATCTCGCTGTCGGTTCTGAGCTTCCCAGAGCTCTGAGAGCTGCCGCACCTCTGGCAATTCCAAGCATCAAGAAGGCGCTGCATCTTTGCGAAGCATCAGAGGTGTGATCTGATGAGACTCTGCCCGAGCATGCGGCGCTTTGGTGCTGCTGCTCTGCTAATTCGCCCACAACTTGAGCTTTGCTGCGAGTAACTTCCTCACGGTCGACAAAGCGTGCGCGGAGAAAACAACTCTTGCTTTGAAGCACGCCTCTCTAAGTCTCTGCCACTGTTGCTCTTCGACAGCCACACGATCCTGCAAACGGCTGCATGAATAGAAAAGCCGATGGGATCGGTAAGGGTTCGCCTGAAACTTCTGGTTCAACAGCTGTTCCAAAGACTTTGCCAGCAAGGCACCCTCATTCTGTGCCTAAGCAATGGAAAGCAGGCAGATGCAGGCAGTATGCAGGAGGCAATCTGCCAATGAGGACCTGGCAGCAATCGATTCCTGCCTTCGGGCTTCTGCAGCAGCGGCTGCTGCAAGGCCTGGCAGGCTGTGCATGGCTGAGGCTGTTCATTACGCTTGCTTGGCTACGCACTTCGGGTTTCGTTCAGCTCTTGCCGAAGCTGCGCAAGCTCCTGATCTGGCGTCACGTAGCTTGGACAGGACTTGTCAGGCAGCAATGTGCCGCGATGCGCTGGAAATCCTGGTCGAACTGCGAGGATCCGTGCTTCATCGCCTCCACGATTGAGCCCTGGCGGCAGGGGACGCTTGTGCAGCGGCTTACTGCATTCATAGACCTTCCATGACCTGCCTGTATGAAGGACTGCAGCTGATCTCCAAGCCTTCAGACTGCAAATTGGATCAAGGTGGGAAACCTTGCAGCTCTGCCCAGTCTATGTATGAGGTCTCAACTCTTGCATGCCCGCTTGTTGGGAAGCCCCGACCTGAACGCCAGATGCAAGACAGATTCTTCTGACGAGTCAGCGGTTCCAGCTTCATGTGCTCAGGTCTAGTTACTATTACTAGTTTTATCATGAGGGCTGGTGTGATCCGTGACACAACCTGACACGACAATTCAGAACTGTTCAATCCTCTCTGACCCCAACGCGTACTTCGATATACGTACCGTTGTGGCTGGCAACAACTGTTCGAGCAAAGGCTTTTTTACACCTGCTGCAGCCCTAAGGCAACTAGTCTTTCCACTGTTCTTGCCAACATCCAGTTGACATTGTTGCTTTGAAGATCCTCGCCTTATCACTTGCTGTGACGACTACGCGTGAGGGCAGCGCTGCCAGCGCCCTCACAGCTCTGCCAGCCCGCTGGCCTGGCTTCAGCTCTGTTGGATCTTTTTCAATCGGCCAATGACATGCTGGGAGCACCCCAGACGCAAAGCCTCAGGTGGCTCATTGCTGAAGTTCATCAGACCCGGCTACAAGGGCTCAGGCTCTTCTCTCGTGTGCACCAGCCACTGCATCATGGCCTGGACGAGGCCAACGATCGAGAGGCCTAGCTTCAGCGCTGAGCCCCTAACGTCTGCTTCCTGTAGCACTGTTGATGGCCTGGGAGTTGTAAATGCATGGGTAATAAACAGCTTTGATGGCTTGCTTTTGCCACGAGGCTGGGAGCCACGGGATGCCTCTTGAAGATCCAAGAGCGCCTGCTTTGCAAATCAGCAGGCTTCAGCACCCCAGCTCCGCTCCTACCTGCTGCATGCGACGAAGAAAGACCGACAAGGCCGTCAAGCTGCATAATCCTCAGCTTGTTTTCGTCACAGAACATACGTGTACCGACAACATCGTTTGAGTTGCCAGCCAGAAGATCCAACTGTGGAATCGTCCTCCTCCTTCGGACACTTGAGGATACAAGGACTGCAAGAGCCATAATGGAAGCATGTTCACTGTAGAGATGCCTGCATGCGTAGCTCCACAGGCACACAGGTGCTTGCGAAGTCTGAGAGAGGCTTTCTAACCTGATTTTCCGTCTCACCGTCGGTCCGTAGCGTCTCCACAACTTTTGCTCAGGCCAGAACCAGGAGACCAATCGCATCAGGCAACCAGAATGATGCTACAGCCGTCCTGGCCTACAGAAGTCGGAAGTCATGACTTCGCGGCATCAACAAGGAAAATCGCCCGGCCTCGTTCCCCGCATCGTTTGAAGGCACACTGCTGTGGACCTGTGCAGGGCAGCCAGTGACAGCATCTCAGGTTTCTGCATCCCCGGTCATCTTGGGACACGACATCTGGCTTTTTCTGTCGTCGTTCCTTCTTCGGCCTTTTGCATAAGCACTAAGAAAGGCTCAGGAACACATGAGTTTCACTGTCAAATCCAGGTAGCTGACTCCTCATGGGAATGAGGCCGTCGCTGCGCTGTGGGCCTTGCCACTCGCACTCAGCAACTCCAAAAGCCCTTGTGCAGCAAATCTACCCGGGCCTGGCACCCGAGCCGCTCCTCCGCAACCTTCCAGACTCGGCAAGAAAATCATCACGCAGCCACGCCGAACTACCTCGTGCCAGCTTGCACGCCATCGCGGATATCGCGGACCTGAGAAAAAGTGCACCTCTCGCATCCTTTCACAACTTCCGATGGCAATCAAGTGCGTCTTGCCCGGCCTCCGACGGCCCATTCAGTCGCATTACGTCGCTATGCGCATTTACATGCTGCACAACATTAACAACATGATCTCTGAGGGGCTGTCGATGGGTTCATGTTGGGTAGAGGCAAATGTGCGAAGCCAGAATCTGCTTTGGTTTGATCAAAGTGTGAGACTTTGCAAGCTTTTGTTGTTGGTAGTCTGCTCCTAGAGCAGCTGCATGCTCCAGCCAATGGCTCCTACCAGTATGACATCACACGTGCCTGAGCTGACGAATTCCATGCCCAACCATGACCCATCTTGAGTTCAGCCCATCCTGCTCCACGTCCGCGGCATGTTTCCGCACTTGCCTGCACATGCATAGAGGACTTCTGGATCTGCGCTTGCACTTTTCAATCCGTACTTGGCAGGGATTGTGAAATTCCTATGCAAGCGCCAATTCGGTCAAGAAGCACTGCAAGCTTGTGCATGACTGCCAAGAGATCCACCTAGTTTGCATGTTCGACTTGCAAGCCTCACAAAAAGTGCAAAATACTGGACTAAGTGAGTAATGCAATGACTGCCAGTGCCTTATGATTTTTACTGCTGCCTGGAAGCCTTCTCGTCCTGATCCTCCTTTGGCGGAGGCCAGCAGACGCTGAGATCGCCAAGAAACAAAGCCTGCTCCTGACAGCAGGTCCAGTAGGAGTCTATCATCCCCTGCGTCCTAAGTGCTGTGAGACCTTGTACATGATGAAGGAACAGTAGCAGCCCTTCTCCACATCAGAAACTTTACGATCATACTTCTCAACGAAGGCCTGAAGCAGTGGGCGCTAGGTGTCTCGCATGGATTCTTGCACTGTCTGAGCCTTCATGGCAGTGTGAAATGTGTCGTTGGCATCGATTGGCTCCTGTAAATCTGCACAAGCACAACACAGACTTTGGGCACAATTCAGACTTATCGCCTCATCCAGAACCTCATCCCTGGACACTTTCGTCATTCTCCTTGCGGGGGATTGTTCAATCGACAGGTTTCAAAGCTACCCCAACACGTCAACCTCCGCTCCATCTTCACCTTCTCTCCAGTCAAGGCATTTTGATACTTGCCTGAGCCCAGCTGCTGCAATAAGAAGGCCAAAGTCAGGAGCCAAACAGCTGGCACAGCCAAAAGCAGTAAACGCAGGGAGCACGCCTGTCTCGCAAATCTCACGGATGGCCTGGAACCCTTGTGTCAGCTCGGTGCAGTCCTTCACTGTCTTTGCACAGCTACCTTCACCAGCGGCTTCATCTCAGGCCAAGGTCTGTCCTGGTAGACCGTGAAACTCTTCATCACCTTCGCTTTTGCAAGCTGCTTCAGATCCTCAGAGATCCCAACAGTCCACGTGAGCTTGCGGAATCATTTCAATCACCAGCTGGGCCTCGTCAGAGAAGAGCTCAGAGGCAGTCCCAGGTGGCATCATCGCAAGGATGAAGTGCAGCATGTTGTGCTGATGCAACAGTCCCGATCACGCCGGCTGAGGGCAATGACAATATGGAGTTCACGGCCTTCGGAGAAGCTGTTGACTTGGTCTGCACCTGGGTCTACCAAAAATGCCCAGCAGCTACGTACATTGCAGGATCAACTCTGAGGCATGGACTAGCTTGTCGAGTGAGGAGAGGCTGAAACCGTGAGGGGCTTGAGGTGCCTGCGCTTCCACGGCTACCAATTTAGCCTCTGTCTGTATGGGTGTATGGACGTTGCATCCCTACGAATCCTTTTCCTAGATATCAGCAGTGAGATTCATGGCGAAACTTCATGTCCGCGGAGACTGTGAGACAAGCGGACTTGAGACGAGAAGTTGGGAGAGGAAGGCCGCAGTTTGTCTTGAAACCTATACAGTCATTACAAAAAATCTAGCTTATGCCTGCCGCTTTACTTCGAGATTGCAAGCAGACCATTTATCTGAATCGGAATGTACAGTACAAGCACTCAGTGCACATCCTCCAGGGCAAGGGAACCGCTGTCTAAAGCTTCGTACAGGCCAGTCTAGTCTACAAGACTGGTGCAGCTGCGCAATGTTGAAGGCATTGACGAATGGCCTCGTCCAGCATCCGCGGCGCACAAACCACAGGGCCACTTCAACACTGCGCAGTCCGTCCCCGTACATCAAGCACGCTGATCCTAAATGATCCTCAGCTGCAAGACAACAGCTCACATTTCGCCACCTGTTTTTTCAGTGCTCTGCCTTCCCGTAACACTTCTTAGCGGAGACATGTGTTTCCAACACTTTCTATTTCACTTTGTCGTGGCCAGAGCCCGTCTTCTTCGCATTGACCTCGGCGGCCTTGATCAGTGGCCTCTGCCTTGATGAGGCCAACTTTACAGCGTGCGATATTCAAAGTCTGCTGGGAAGGCATGGCGTACACTTAACCCCGCAATGCGTCTTGCGTTCACCGAGAGATGCTCGTAGACTTCCTGAGGAGTCCACAGGACTGACGGTCTCAAAAAAGCTCGTGAAGATTCGAGGGCGCCTCCTCGATACCAATCCTGTAGAAAGCCTCAATTTCTTGCAGTCTTGGAAGATCTTGTGGCGTGACTAGAGTAATTGCCATATCATTTCGAGCATATGTGCCACAGCGTCCCAGGCGTTGCAAATAGACCTCCCGACATGTTGGAAGGTCATAGTTTACAGTCAAGCCAACCTGTGGTATATCCACGTGACGCGTCGGAAGGTCGGGGCAAACCAAGGTGCCAAAGACAGCTTTACGAAATGCTTTAAGCGCTGCCTCCCTCTCTTGCTGAGGAGTATCCGCATGAACGAAGAAAATAGGCAGTTCAAGTTCAAGCCTCTCAAGATGATTTGCCACAAAGTCCGCCTTGCGCCTCGTGTTGCAGTAGACAACCATCCGTGTAACAGGAAGGTGCTCATGAAGATCTCTTAGGCACTCAATCTTCCACTGCTCCCATTCAACATTCAAGTAGAACTGCCTGACGCCTTCCAGAGTCAGATGCTCCCGTCCTTGTCGAATTATCACTGGATTCTTCATATACCGCGCAATCATCTCGAGGCACTCAGGTGATTTCGTCTCTGTGTTCAAACATACTTGGACGTCGGGCGGCAAGCCGCAGCAAATGCCGTGAATCTGCTCCTGGGCTGCGAGAAGGACGGATAAGGCTTGGCGGCACAAACTCCACATGTGGCGGACCTCTGTATGTACTGTTGTGGAAAACTGCCTGTAGTACCGGTGGCTACGGAAAGCTACATACAGAGCCTCGAACCCTTCCAATGGCTTACAAAAACCTTTGGGCAGCATCTGCTCACCGCTCCGGGAATTATTCTCAGAAATACTGTCTTCTGGCTTGGCCTGAACTTCCCCAGACACCCTGCACCGTGCAATCCCCGCGGCCGATCGATGACACTTAAAACCACTCAACCTCTCAAGGTTGAGTGCGTCTGCGCTTCTCTGAGGTACCCTTTGCTTGCTTTCGTTGGGATTTCATGCAAAAAGATCAAGAAGTAGACGCAACTTTTGGATGGAGCGGAGATGAGTCTCAAGTAAGGAGCTCAGGCCCTGGGCGTGATTGAGCTTCAGCCGAAAAAGATCTGACTCTCGATGAAGGAGGCAACTTGTAGATCCGACAGGTCGCGGGATGTCTGTGAAAAAATCAGGTTTCAGCCAGGGACAACATGCAAACCTGGATTCAGGATTCCAGCAATGCAAAGATCTGCAAAAAGCAGAGGTAAGGCCATCGCATGCCCATGCAAGTGCTTAAACCAAACTCATGGACCGATCGTTCTCAAACGCAGCACTGTACCAAGTCTTAGGGTGACCATCACAAGCAGCTACTTGCAATAGTGCTATGGATCAGACCCGAACATCCCTCTTAATACAGATGACAAGCGCCAACTCTAATGCACCGTCATAAAAGGGTTAACACATGCCAAGACTAAGCTAGCCACACTGAACCCACGCGAAATGAGCTCTTGCACTTCATCCATCGCCAGCAATTTGATGTCATCCACCTTCAGAAAATCCCTTCTCATCATATCATAAACGCGGCCAGGCGTTCCAATAAGCAAATGTTGGCCATGACGACAAGCATTCAGATCATCCCTCATATATCCACCCCCGCTTAACGAGCGAGACTTCAGCTTGGGATTCCCCATGCTCGTCGCGACTGAGCCAATGGCAACAGCCAGCTCTCGAGTCGGAGTTAGAATCAGCGCCTGACTTTGGTCTACGGAGCTGTCGATACATCGGATGCAGCAAATGACAAAGGCAGTGGTCTTGCCCGTGCCTGACCTTGCTTCTAGAAAAGTGTCGCGCCCATCTATGATGGGCATGAGGCCATGTTGTTGCATGGAAACTGGTCTCTCCAAGCCGTAGGCACGAATGTTCTGCAGAAGATCTTGCTCTAAGCCGAAGTCATCAAATGATGTGCAGGAGGGATACTCCTCTCCACCATAAATCTCCGAAGACATGGCTTGACGAATGAGTGAAACTGTGCCGCGTTGGGCAACTCAGGGATCCTGAGTGGCCGCTTCAATGACTTGAACCAGCAGTCAAGGCCTGTGCATGGGAATGCTGTGCTTCAAGAAAGTTACTGGATGCTTCATATGCAGCCAGGTGAGATATTAGAGCTTCTCATCCCTCATGGGGTGGGCAAACGCGGGAAGCACCAGGCAATTGCTGTTCAGGATGGTCCCAAAGCGGTGAGCCATCGAAAAGAACCTGGCAGCCATCCATCTTGAGGGTGAAACGGCTGTGCAAAACAGCTCGACATCTCCATCTGGCCAGCATCTAACCATGCCAAGCCAGCTGGCGGAGCTCCATCTTCTTTGCGCTCAAAACTTGCAGAGCCTTGCGGAGCTGGTATGACTACTTGGGTCTTGCTGAAGAATCGCAACGGCGCCTTGCAAAGAACTTCCAGGTCCGCGACACATTTCGCGAAGCCATCCTAGATCAGCTAGCCAAGACAGAAAGGGCCACAAGTCTTCAACCTGACAAAAGTGCGGTCCTCAAAAGCGAGCTGAAACAGCATGCACTCCAAACGTTCCTCCACCTGGGGTACCTTTGCGTTTGATGCTAGTTCCATCCGCTTCATTGCACTCCGTGCCCAAGGTTCTCAAGCCTTGAGGACTTCGTGGATGAGGCGGTGCAGCCATGGATCCCTGAGTTTCTTCAGCGCAGCCTCATCAGGCAATTGGTCCGCCTGCCAGTGCTGAATGAAACGGCCTCTCCGTTGGTCTGCACAAAATCTCGAATCTTGTTCCTCACGCATTCGCTATGAGAACGAATGTCTGCGGACATGAAACTCCAGCAGGCTCAATTGCAGCCCGTCTGCCCGGTGACTGCTTGGTCACGTATGACTTTGCGAAGCATGCACAGGCCCTGACGGCTAATGGTTTGACTAGAAGACAGCAAGACTTGTGAACAAGGACTGCCTCCTCCCTGAGCACCTCGTAATTGCAGCTCAATACCTTGCTCCGTGACTGGTCAGTGCAAAGTAATGCCGGGCAATGCTCTGGGATTGTGCCTGAGCCTCATGCAGACTGCTTCATTATGGCAACAATTTGGCGATCGCTTTCGTCTGCGACAACGTCTATGACACCAAAACAGTTTGGGAGCATGCTGCAATTCCAAGCCAAAGTTTGAGAAGGTTGGGTGAAGAGATGCTGGGTGGTCACATGGCCTCTGTTCTTCATCCGATACTTGCTCATCAAGATGCCCAGCCTGTCAGGCAGAAGCTAGAATCCAGCACTGACACCACAGCTGCGCACACGCTGAGGGCAATGCATCCGTCGCTGCTTTTCATCCAGAATGCTGATCTTGTCTGACTTGCCCTCAACATGAAACATGAAGCGAAAGCATCCCCTCTGCAAGGTTTGCAAGAGTCTGACGTTTGGTGGAGAAAAGGTGCCCAAATGCAAAGGAAAAGATGCAAAACCGCCTGGCTGGAGTCTATGTATCCAAAGTTGGAAGGGGGGACATTCCGCACTTGTGGCGCTCTGAACCTGATTACCTCTGCCCCACCCCTTGACACGTTACATGCCTGGCTACCTCATCCAGGTTTTTTTTGGTTGCTTTTCTGAGTTCCGTCTGGTGCCGGGCGTTTGGTCTGGGCCTCTGGATTCTGCGATATCAGTATTGTTTGAATTCCTGGGCTTTTTGGCAGCTTAAGGCTCAGGACCTAATGAATTTGAGCCCTAAGACGTAGGATTTTGGAATGAAATGATGAGTTCATGAAATAAGGCTTGTTGAAGCTGCAAGGCTGTAAGAGCTTGGGCTGCTTGAGCACAAAAGGGCTGTAGTCTTCGAAAAATTCAGGGACCCCGACTACGGTCCTCCCGAACCCCGACAAGGCTTGTTGTCTTGGCCTTCCTATGCACTTCAAGCTCTGACCGCAATAAATGAATCATGTAGCCCGTAGCCCCGTAGCCCGCTACCCTCAACAATGCCGCTTTTGGTTATGACCCCCCTGCATGGATTCGACCCCCAAGCCAAAGCCAAGAACACCAGCAATTGCTCTGCATTTCCTGCGGCGCAATGGCAGCTTTACTCTGAGTGTACTCACTTTGGGAAAGTGGCCAGGTCAGGCATAGAGTAGGCAAGGAACCACAATGCCATGAACAAGAACAAGGCCCAAACTGGTGGATCATCACTGAAAGATTGAACTGAATTTAATGTTCATGTGCTAGCCTTGTAATTAATCGAACCAAATGGGCTCGTTTGAAAAGCCAAAACTGTTAGGATGTGAAGCAGTTTGATGCCTTATCAGCGCCTGCTGATTCAAAATGCAAAACTTTGAGGTTGGCTGAGGCAAGGTCCGAGTCTAATTGCACAGCAGCTTCACGTCTTTGGAAGTAGATCTGGCACAGCGGTGCACATGTTTTCAAGATGTGAAATTCAAGGCTAGCACTCCCGACTTCCTCTCCCGGGTGTAGCCGCAGCTTAGCCCTCATCTAGCCTTTTCAAACTTACCTGCCCAGAAGCCAGGTTGTCATCAAAAGGTGCCATCAATTTGGGATGCTGCATGCTGGAAGGACACCTGTTCAGGCCTAGACATCGCCCGAATTCAAAATTATTCAATTCTCCTACAGAAGGAATCCTGATGTGGATCTTCTATGGTAAGCCCGAACTCCAGCTGAGTCCTCAAAAGACTCGCTTTCGTGACTGAGATCGATTAGCAGATCGATTAGCCCACGAGCTAGTTGGTAGTTTCCCAAAGTAGGGGGACCCCAATATAGACCCAGAAAACTCTATAATCCTCATGAAAGGGACCCCAAAACAGTACCCTAATGTTGGGAAATCCCCCTTTGCAGCTGACTGATGCACCCAAGCTCAAGGATCTGATGGGATTCGCTCTTTGAATGCTCTTAAATTCCTCATTGATGCCTCGATAATCTTGTTGTTGTGACGTGCTTCTTTGTGTGCTCGCTCGTCTAAGGCTAAGGATGCAAGGTTGGTTTTGCGATGGATTCGTTTCGGGAAAGAAGTTGCACAGTTATACAGCAACGATTAGGTTCTTCGAGCAAGAGACAACGAGAACCATACCAGCATCACTCGCAAGCACCAGAAATGGAAGGATCCCAAAAGCATTGGGAAGATGATTGTTGATTTCCGGTTGCACAAGAAACGGATCTTGAGCAGCTGTAAAATTTGGGCAGGAACCTTGCACTGTCATTGGTGGAAAGTTGAACGATCTTGGCCAGCTCTTCATAGTGGGTGGCTTGGCTTCCACCCCCCTCTTTGACAATCAGATCAAGAGTACATGCGCTTCACCAGGATAGCGTGGGCATTTGTCTCTGCTAGCTAGACATCAGGAATCTGGGTCAACCAATGATGAAGATACCTTCACGTCTTTTGTGCAGAACAGCTCAACACTGAACATCAATATCGAGGCAACATCTGGCCTCGATCATCGAATCTGGGAGATCTTCACTTTCTGGAGCTTCTGGTTGCTCGTACACGGCTCCGAGCTGCTGCTCTTGGTCCGGATAGGTTATCTCTGGTGAACCCGAGGCAGCTGCAAGCATCTCTGCACATTGCTTCAGTAGCGCGCTGCTACCTGCGTTCATCTTCTCAGCGTTGGCCGGCAAGGCTCTCCAGTAAAGTGTGACCAAGTTGTTTTTCTTTTTGTTTTCTGCCTGGCACTTCGCCTTAGGCTTGGCCTTGGGCATAATCGAGGGCAGCGGCGGGCCCTTGCCTTTTCCTCCTCCCTTGCCTTTGGCTCCCTTGGCACCCTTTGCTTTTGGTGCAACCGTGTTTGGTTCGGCCTTTTCTGGCTCAGCAATTTGCAGGCCTGTCTCTGTGTGGCTCAGCAATTTCTGCTTGGCCTCCTGGAGCTGCTCGACTTCCTGAAGCTGATTTGCTGCTTGGCCTTCTGCTCGCTGCAGTTCGGCAAGCTCAGCCCGAATCAGTCTCGCTTCGCCTTCAGCATGTTGGTTGATGAGAGTTGTTACCTCTGTCATGATCTTTTGCAATCGATTACACACCACAAACTCTTTGAGGACTGTCTGCTTTTCCTCACTTTGCGCAGGCTCCCACTCCGCCGTTTTAAGGGCATCTTGCCAACGCCGCTGTTCCTGCCGCAGCAAGAAACTGTTCTGCTCCTCCAAGTCTAAGGGAGCCAAACGCTTTTGGTACTCAATATCTTGCTGCAGCTGGCTTGCCCTAGCGACGAGGTACTTCAGCCGGTCTGAGGCTTCTGGCACCTCCGCGCTCCCCATCACTGCCACTGCCGCAGAGAAGGCTGTCTTTTCTTCATGGCTGGAGAGTTGCTCGAACGGAAATCATTCTACTTCTGGTATCCCTCTGTCCACATCCAGGATATGTCGTGTACCATGGGTCAAGCGCTTACCCTCTGGAATGCTTGCTCTGAGATCGCCATTCAGTGCTCCTTGCAATGCTGCCTGCTTGGGCCAAGCTGAAAATCACGGCATCATCACTCAACCCTCACACGGCTGGAATGGTACCTGGTAACGTTTAGCTCCCTTGTTTCCTTCGAATCAATGTAGCTCGCCGCTCAGAAGGCCCAAGACGGCCTCATCCAAGGACAAGCTGCCGAGGAACTCAGTGCAATGCCTTGCATCTGAGGCACGCCGTCTCTGCTTTGTTCGTATCTTGCGCTTTGGCACCTGATGCGGTCAAATCATTGGCTGCACTTAGTTGCTCTACAGCTCCACTCGACTACAAGCAAAATCCGGGCACTGTTTGGCGCATCATTCGGGTCGCCTTGCCCAAGTAACCTCAGCACGGCACGGAATTACGAATGGCTTGCCAAAGCCGCTGAGGTCTGGGCCAAATCACATAGGATACGCGGTAATCTTTCTTGCCTTTCAGGACCTCAGATGCCTGGCATCACGATGATGCTGAGTCCGCCTCTTGCATGATCTCACCGCCTTGACTTTATGCAGGATCTTGTCCGACCAGAAAGCCTCAGCCATTTGGACACGGGCTTGGACACTCCAGCGAAATAAGCGGACAGGACGTCGCACTCGTGTGTCAATATGCATTCAAAACTCGTTGGTTGCGACGCATGCAGACAGCTCTTGAATCAGCGAGCCCGGGAGGAAAGAGGCGACGTTAGAGTTATTGTGCGCTACATTGCGATGAGGCAACTTGTGGAGAGGGCCTGTTCGTAACGGACAGGCCGATTGAAATTCAACAGAGTCGTGTCTCCACATCAGCTGGATTCCAGCATGTAAAGGAAGCAAAGCCGTGTCTTGATGGTCGCAAGTAACTACAGAAACTGCGCAAGACGAAAAATGCCTCCCTGGGGGATGGACAACGAGCGTCCCACTCTTTGGGGGCAGCGTGACCTTTGCCACAAAGAACAAAGTAGCTGGCGTCCCCCCAAAAAACCATCGTCAACTAAGGCCCCGGCCGGTAGACCAAGGGCTTCTGGATTCGACTTGGCCGCCTCCGCCTCGCGATCAGACCCATGCGCAATGATGTCTCTGCCGTAGAGACAGGAAAGCTGCTGAACACTGGGCGCCTCTGTTTGTCCCTCCCCAAGAAGGACAATCTCCCCTCCGAGGGCGGACCTCTGAGATCATAAGTCGCCTTGTCAAAAGACAGAACATGCAGCGAAGCCTCCAAGAGTCGTTGAGGTACAGGAGCATCCTCACAGTGGCAAAACCAGATATGATGTGCAGCAACCTTTGATGAGCTAAGATTCTCACGACAGTTTTCGATTGTAGGGCTTCTCGGCTACACCCACCTCAGCTGGGCCAGATACGGGCAAATCGTTCGCAAAATCTCTAAGGCAGGAACGTCCAAGTGAGCATCGAAGGCCGCACCCTTGCCGACGCTCATGTTCAGCCTTGGCTACGTCTCGAATTGCTGATCAGAGCCCAGCTGCACTTTGGACTCAGGGTTCTGCTTGTTGCCAATGAACTTGTCACAGAGTTCCATCTCCGGAAAAGCAGCATTCACCTACAGCACATTATGGGCTCCCAGGACCTTCCGCTTCAGAATCTTGATGACACTGATGCATGAGGCACTGCATACTCAGATGTTTCACACGTCTGACCAACTCCCTCGTCATGGTGACGGTGTAGTGCCACATGCCTGGCAAAACTTCCAGCAAGACGACATGACATCATCATCAGCAGGATCCCTAGTACGTAAATACAAAGTTCAAGGTAAGCCGGTGACGTGGAGAAGTCGTGTACTTTTCGCTCTTGATCTCTGTGGCAAACACGTGCTTCTTGTCATAGTAGATGGCTGTCACGACATTTGTTCAACACGCGTGTCACCAGCCACGCTCGAGATTTATCCGAGGGGCTGCCCCCCAGTACGGATTGAGACTGTATGAAGTCGCCATTGTCCCAAAGGTCCTCCACCTCTTGGCCTTTGCACAATTCAGCAGAGCTGCAGGACTCTAGCTGTTCTAGCTGAGGCTTTGTAGGGCTCCTGCGCATGGCACGGAGCAGCGGCTTGGGCAGGACAGGCGTAGACGAAGCCCACCAGCCTGACTTCGTTTCGAGGTGCCAAGGTGTCTTCACCCAGGGCAGCCGCACCGTGGTCACGAAGGCCCGCAATGAACTCGTCACACCAATCATCGATCGATGCCAAAACCTGGCCACATGTACAACCAACGCAAACAATTCCCAAACTCATGCCGACATTAGCTGCTAGCAGTGAATGGACTGTTTTTTCTGGACAAATGCAGCGCACTAGCACGTTTTGATTGAAGTTACTTGCATGGTCGGTGCCAACGGGTGGGGATTTCTCTGATCATCAGATGCAGCCTAAGGGCGCCCTTACACCCTTTGCATCGCCACCCGCGGGCGTCTCTATGCAGCTCAAGCGTGGGGTGCACCCCCAAATGACGGAGTTCATGGCCCGAGAAAGGGCAAAAGAACGAAGCTGCTGCTAAGATTCTGCGTCGACACCACTTCATGGACTGTAGCTTCACTTTTGAAAGATGTGTAGCCTGACAGTGACGATGGCAGACACTTTCAAACTGCTACCATGTCGGGGTTGGCATGCAAGCTCTCAGAAATCCTGGAATAGGGAGATCTTGCTGTACTGTGTCCCCGCCAGAGGTCAAATTCAGTCAAAGTGTTTGGCAAAACTAGAACCTGTTCACAATTTTTGGAGAAAAAAAACAAGGCGACCGCCCTATGCAGGCTACAAGATCCAGCACATCCCATGAAGCTGTTGGAGCATCCATGGCATTCAGTTCCCATCTGTGACAAGCTGTGGGTGCCTGCTTGTTGAACTTCCCCACCTCGGACTCTGACATTGCAAAGTCCTTCCAGACAAGAGCTCGTTGCAACCATCACCCAGGCCCCCCCCCCGCAAGCTGATGGCCTTTGTTGAGGTCTGGGTAGCGGAAGGCGCTGTCGTGGCTTCGCCTCGCATAAGTCATCTCAGCTGTCCCCATACAAAGAGTCCCTGCTCCAAGCCTCCAAACCCACGCCCGTGCAGTCCAGTCCTCGAGGGTCTTCTCTGCCTGGAAAAGCACAGAGCCTTTCATACGAAATACCTTGCAGAGGAAACAGCCTGCTCAGTCGGAGAGCAAAACCTGCCAGAGCACCTGGCAAGCTTTTCTGCAGAGACGTTTTGGCTTTTGGATGGGTATCACACTGGCGCTTGCACCTTTCCACCAGATCTGGCGAGCTGCTGGTAGCCTTGCCAATCTCCGCCCGGGCACATAGCACCAAATAGTTCATGCTGTGCAGAAGAGGGGCTGCCAAGCGCCATATCCGACATCCTATGACGGTCTTGGAGGCAGGTGTTGGATAGAATACGCACAGCCAACATTTTAACAACACGCAGACGCAGGAAAAGCAGTCAAACCGTAGACCCTTGTTTCCTGCAACGCCTTGACAGACATATGCTTCTGCCGGCGGGAGATTGTAGCAGCTGCCTCCTTCCAGCAAGATTGCATGAAAGAATCAAGAGCAAATGGAGCAGCATGTTCTTTTGTTCCGTGCCTTGTGGCCATCACGGACCACACGATTGCAGGCATGATGACGGCAGAACTGGCCAGCAACAAGTGGTTGGACAGGCGAGGCTGCAAAGGAAGCAACCCAGGACAGTTGGACCGCTGCCCCGGACGACACGGGCTGCATGACTCCCCTAGGTTTCCTTCTTCCGGATCTGTGCTAATGTGGGTCCAGGAAGCTTCAATCGCTTGCTGGAGGAATGAGGCTGTATGGCATTTTGGCTTCCATGCAAGCTGCTCTTCAGTGTCAGACATGCGGCTTGACAAGCGTGAATGGCATCAGCAAAGAAGATACTGCGGCTATGCGATGTGCCTAGAACCTAGCGCGCGAATCGCAATTTGCTTTGTGTCACGCAGCTCCCGGCTGCACTGTGGAGGCTGATGATGTGCTCCTGCTAGGGTAGGAAGGCTTGCACTTAGCAAGCTGTGAAACACAGGTCAGGGAGTGATCCATGCTCAACGAGTCAAACGGAAGCTGACAGCTGCACAAGCACCCAAGGATGCCAGTTGGAGATTCCAACTTCTTAAAATGGATTGATAGTAGGATACAGAACATTACCTGAAGTCGGAAGTCTCCGGGCAAATCTGAAACGAAACATCACTCGCAGCAGCCACTAGGCCACCACGCCGGCTTCGTTAAAACATGTACACAATGGGCAGCTTCCTGCCAACTTCTCGCCGACCAGCTGGGATCAATAAGTCAGCTAGTTGGGACGAGAGTTCCACAACCAGCAGAAGGCATTAACACGCATGATGAAGTTCCATGCAGCCTGCCTCAGTACCTCAGCAGCAGTTTGGTCCATCTTGGGCAAGATTCAAACGAAGCTTGAGGACTTGAGGCCCTTGCTTGACAGTACGAGTCTTCTGCCGAAGATCGGCCCCGCCCTGTCCTGTCGGATCTTGCACAGCCATGACAGGCAGCCACACTCCTCGTTGGTAGGTTGAAAAACTGTTTAAAAGCAAGCAAAGGCCAGCCTGGCAATTTTGCAGCCTCCTTCTTGTACATCTCCTTGCCTCAGCGTGGGGAGGTTGAGCAGTCAATGCAACTTGAGTTGACTGAGGTTGTGTCTATCCTTCTTCATTTGTCGGCAGATCCGTCTCATTTCCTCGAGCAGAATCGGGCATCAAATAGTCAAGATAGAATGTCCCACCACCTTGACGGAGGCTTTTCGAGCCCTCTTCTCTTCAGCAGTCTCGCCCTTCTCACGGGTCGTCACCACCTCAAATACTTATATGCAAGAGCACAAACCCCCGAAGCCAGTTGAGACTAGCTCCAAGTGTATCTATTGGGATGCTGCTGCACCGCCATGTTACAAGCGCAAACAACCTGCAGCTCCTACAAAACAATATAAGACAGGCACATCCGGAAGTTCCACCACGTCCTCAGCAGCCCATGCGACTTCCTTTGACATTAAGTGGGAAGCCAATGGCCTCGACATCATCATCATCATTTCCTGTCTCAATTCCACGGGTGAGCCAGAAGGCTTGGACACAGCTTCACCAGCATCAGGCCACCTCCCTCAGACTCTTTTACCGGCTTCAGCTTCTCCACCGGCTTCTTGACGATCTTCAGCTTGCCTATCCTGCCTTCCCGAGACAGTTGTGATTGCTGATGCTACCACCACATAGAGACATGTCAGTAGCATGTGGAAAGACTCTGCTCCGCCTGGCCGGTTAGAAACATTGCTGAGAGTGCTTAGCACTGTCTCGCAGTCCCACGTGCGTGACCTTGGTTGGACTCTTTGCAGTTTTGCGGTTTTTGAAGCTTTCCCCTTGCGAGTTCCTGGCTCATCTTCACTTTCGTCCCCGGACTCTGTTTCCTCCTCACTCTCCTCCTTCAGGAAACATGTGGAACTGATAACCTCAACATGTTCATGGCATCTGCCAGGCCTCCAAGTAGTGCCTTTCAATGATGGCGCGGGTCTCTGCGATGACACGAGGCTCATCATCCTGCGTGGGGACGAGTACTCTCAACACAGCAGATATCAGAAAGTCAGCTGGCCTTGAACCCTCGCTGCGGCTCATAGAGAGAGACAAGCCTCAGAATGCTGATGCAGCGCTTCTTCACAAAACCTGCGACGTGCATCTACCCAGAAGTCATCAAGAACTCATGAGTGTCCAGGCGCAATGCACCAATGGCCATTAGCAGCTGAGCGGCTCCTGCTGCTCGGCTTGTTTCTCTTCCAGATACCTGCAACTCTGCAACATCTTCACAAGCAAGGCAAGATGACGCCGCACAGCAATTGGCGAACTCATCCAGTACGTCGTCATCCAGTTCAACCTGGCCCTCGATGTCGTCCTGCTTGTTTACAGAAGCCACTGATTTTTAGTGGCAAAGGGGTCCCTTAAGCAAGCGTCCTCATCGCGAGCGCCTATCCTCGGCATGAAGCACGACTTTGGCATGATGCTAGCAGCACGTGTCGACATTTTGCATGCTTTGCTGGGGCCAGAGCTCATCATCTCCGTACTGATCTGCCATGAACCGTTCGAAGTCCTCGAAGGCAATAGCTCGTGAGCTTTATCGCCGTATCAAGCCTTGCAGTGGCCTCGTCCTTCGGCTTGGCCTTACTGTCTGAGGTGTCTGCAGTTTGCAGCAGAAGGAACCCTGGATAGCCCAAGGCAACTTGATCGACCGAGGTCAGCGCATTGCTTGCTTTCGCTCCGCCACTTTTGTATCCTACAACATTAGTACAATGTTGCTCGCGGCTTGTGCTTTTTTGATGAGGCTGCATTGTCAAAATACCGAACTGCCTCCTTCAAATTCATCTAAGCCATCATCAAAGTCGCTGTCATCCTGCACATCTTACTCTAGACAACTGCTACCATGTTGTCCTGCTGACTGGAGTGCATCTGCAACCACAGCAGCTACACATTCAACAGCTTCAATGGCAGCACGACCTCTTGGCCCATAGCTCGGGACTGCAGAAGCGCCTGCTAAGGTCAAAATGAAATGGCAAGATGACTTCTGCACGAAAAGCTAGAGCTGCCCAACCCCCGACCTTGTGCTCAGCAAAGATGGACATGTCCTCAGAGAGTGATGGACATGCAGCCCACAAAGCTGTGATTCACAACATCATGTGTTCGCCCATGAAACATAAGTTCAGATAAGTTGAGAAGTTTGCTGGATGGAAGGCGCTGTCTAGCGCTGCTGGTCCCCAAAGAACCGCGTCAGGCCTCAAGGCCACCAATGAAGTTCTCTGAGACAGCCACAATGCTTCCAGCTTCCTCTTCTATTTTGGACTTCTGGGCTACTCACTCCACAAGTCCGCCTTCCACCACTTCTGCCATGACATCATCCTCGGGCTTGGAACTCTGGCCCAACTTGGTCGTCATGGCCCACGGTCCTCCAACTCTTCGTACTCGTCTACGTGGTCCAGTGCTCGAAGAACCTGCGGTGAAGGGGTGCTGTGGACTGCAGAGAGACAAACCTACGCTCTGCTGAGCTCACATGTCAACCACGAACAAGACCAGCCTCCTCTTCATCCTCGTTTGTGGCCTGTTGCTTGAGGAAGTCCTGTCCATGATTGCCGGGTTGCGTCTCCCAACTGCTCTAAGTTCTCCCGTTGACTTCCAGAACACGACGGAATGCAGGGCCCGACTATCAGGCTTCAGCGCAAGCCCGTTTAAGGGTTGCACAACTTTCACGATCATTCCAAAAACAAGGCAACAGAAAGTGATGCTGTGCAGACCTGGCCTTGGGGACTTAGGACATGGCAACGAACAGAAATTTCAACGCATGTTGTCCAAGTTCTGTGAGAAACAGTATGTGTAAATATAGAAATAATCAAGAAGAAAAAGCCTGAAGCCTCATGCTGATCTAGTGGCCTAAGGTGAACCTGGAGATGTCCATCCTGGCAAGCCCCCGGAAGTTTTGGGAATGCCTTGTAGAGGCTCCCGGGAGGATGGGTCGTTAAGACAAAACTGTTGTTTTTTTGGGGGGTGGGCCTTTTCGCGGAGGCCTCTTTTCGGGCCCGGGTCCGACCCACCCCATACCCATGTTCAGCCTTACCACGCAGATAAGATGCTTAAACATGGAAATCTTTGCCTCACTGTCCCAGAAAACTTGTATAGCCAGGATTTTACTTCAAAACGAATCAACTTCTGCTTTGTTAGGCATGATGTAGCGCTGTTCTGAACATCAGTTCCAACAACCAGGTAACAAGATCTGGTTTCTGGATGGTAAGGCTTTCTTCCTACCCCTTGTCCCTCTAAAACTGATGCCTTGCATGGTGTCCAAGACCTGTGTCTCACCGGGAGCATTAATCATAAGTCAATCCTATGGCATGGAGCCTCCAGGTTACCTAGGTTTGCATCTGATGCATTGGTGTAGTTGGTGGGGATGTGAATGAGAATCTAACTACAATATGGCAGGAACCTCCAAATAGATTCCCTGGGTGCATTCCTAATAGCCAGGGCACCCCATGCTGAATAAGAAGATAAGCACGAATCATTCCGTGGGCAAACCCACATTTTTTCAGTGGAGCTTTCTGATCATGAAGTTGTGTATCAAAAAAAAAGAGGACATGACTCTGGAAATACTTGGAAAAGAAAGGAGTTTCCGAGCTGTCGTGCATGAGGAAGGCCGAGGCACACCGAACATAACCTCATAAGGTGATCTTTGGGGATACATATACTTCCTCGCACAGCTGTGGGCTTGCGAAGCTAGTTTCCATGAATGATGGGCTTTGCGGTCAAAATCGAACATGTAAAATCATGAAGGCTTTTTGGGTACAAGGAGAAGACCCGGCGGAGAAATCCGGCTGCAGTACAAGATGATGTCATATGCATGCAAACTGAAAGGAGGAGGAGGCCAAAGGCATCCCAACATGAAGCCGATACTCTGTGAGACCGAAGCTGCATGTACATCATGGCAGGTATGTGGGTAATGTGACTCTGTACAGAGGAGAATTAACATCCTACCTTCAACTTCTACTAGACATGCCAATTGCCTCTCAAGAGTTTCAGTTTCCATAGCTTATCCACCAACACCGTTCTCCAGTCTCTGAATTATCCGTTCCATGTGTTGCCAGGCACGATGCAGACGAAACATGCGTGAATGCTCATGGCAGGAATCGCAATGTACACTGATGGGCGTAGCACATGTAGGGGCATCTGAAGTAAAACTGACAAGGTTCCCCTGGGCATCTTCCCTTCACATGAAGGGATGCACGGAGGAATTCAAAATTCAAAATTCAAAAAAAAACACTGAGAGAAATCTCGGAACAGTAGGAATTATATAGCAGGAAATTGATGCGCATGGCATTAAGTTAAGTAGGGACGGTAGAAACAACAAGATGACAGGTTGCAATTAAGATTGGGATCTGCGTTAAGCAACGTGTGAATTTTGACGGAGGGCGCCTCCATGATACTGCCCTGATTGCCCAGTAGCTTCTCCAGAGAGAGAGAGAGAGAAAAGAAAAATGAGAGATTTAGAGTTGTGTGGTGCATCTCCATGCAACTTATAGAGCACAAGACTTGTAAGAAGAGTCTCCGTTGAAGGTGGTGGGATCCTGCAAGAGCCGATCCGCAGAAAAGAATATACACGAACGAGGGTATGATTCTACGCGGTTTAGGGTTTAAGGCTTAGGGTTTGGGGTATGTGGAAGCAGTGTGTTGAAGTGAAAGGCTTCAAATGCAGCAATTCCCCACGAAGAAAACATGCTACGGGGAGCCCGCATATCAAACTTCGACAGTGGGGCAACAGTGTTCATAACAATGATCTGGATTGGCAAGGACGGGGTATGCAAGCAAGAACACCATGCTCAAAGATTAAATAACAGGATACCAGGCTAGGATTTCGTTTGAGGTCTAGGGTTTAGGGTATAGGGATTCAGACATATCCGTACCATTTGTAGGCTTGGCGAGTAAAACTGTGTTGTTGCACTTAAGGGTGGGCAATAAGTAGTACGGGCCCCTCCTTGCCAGCATCCCATTTGCATGCAAGACCAGAGCACTACTTCCATAAGCAGCTATACTCTTATGGTCAACAGCAGCCCTCCCTACGCAAAGCTGCTTGATGCCACTTTCAAACTAAGGTTGATAAGACAAAGCTTCCAAAATACCCAGCAAATCGTTCAACACACTAAACATGCGTGTTTGCATGAAAAATAGAGGGCTGCATTCCGCCAAAACACTAGACTTCGGAGGCAAATTTGAATTCGATAATCTGGAGTTCAAATCTCACCTTGAAGTCTCAAAGATCCGCTAAAGCTTCCAGTCAGTACGTTGAACGAGTCTAGTGCTTGTGGCCCGCTTTCTATCATAGTAATTCCCGCGGCTGCGCATTGCATGCCTTGTCAACCTTCCAAAGCACGGTCACAAGGCCAATGTCAGCAGCTTTGGTATACTCTTGTGACAGTTGAACAGAATTACTGAAATCACCTCTGGAAATGGGGAGAAGTCCATTTAAACCAGTCAAATTTGCAAGAAATTTAGGGTCGGGAGCCTGGCATGTGTGTATGGCAGCAATGATTAGAGTTTGGGTTTGGGGTTGTGCGAGGTTTAAGATGTGAAGGTGATTCGATGTTGGTGTTGGCAGTTGTTTAGGCTTTAGAGTTGTCAAGGTTTCAGGGTTTAGGGATGTGGAAGTTTTGGGGTAGTGTGGAGCTTGGGGCTGGGGTTGTGCAGGATTTGGGGTCGGAGCTATGTTCGAGCTTTGTGTTGGAATCTGTTTAGGGTACTAGTTACTAGTACAGAGTTTGGAGATGTTCGCTTTAAATTCATGTTCGGGCCTTGGTTTTTAGGCATGTTCACAGTTGAGGGCCTGCAGTTGCTCTCGAACGCATCGGCTTTGGGGTTGTTTCGTGTTTAGGCTTTGGCTTTTTGGGGGTTTAGCCTTTGGGGTTGCGGTTTAGAAAATTGGGTTGTTTCGGGTTTAGGGGTTTAGGCTTTGGGGTTGTTTCGGGTTTAGGCTTTGGCTTTTTGGGGGTTTAGCCTTTGGGGCTGCGGCTTAGAAAATTGGGTTGTTTCGGATTTAAAGGTTTAGGCTTTGGGGTTGTTTCGTGTTTAGGCTTGTTTTTTTGTGTTTTTTCCCTTTGGAGTTGCGGTTTAGAAAAGTTGGCTGTTTCGGGTCTAGGGGTTTAGGCTTTGGGGTTATTTCGGATTTAGGCTTTGGACTTTTTAGGGTGTAGCCTTTGGGGTTGTGGTTTAGAAAATTGGGTTGTTTCGGGTTTAGGGGTTTAGGCTTTGGGGCTGTTTCGGGTTTAGGCTTTGGCGTTTTAGGGTTTAGCCTTTGGGGTTGCGGTTTAGAAAATTGGGTAGTTTCGGGTTGAGGGGTTTAGGGTTTGGGGTTGTTTCGGGTTTAGACTTTGGGCTTGTTGAGGGTTTACGCTATGGGGGTGCGGTTTAGAAAATCGTCTTGCTTCGGGTTTAGGCTTTGGGGTTGTTTCAGGTTTAGTCTTTGGGGTTGTTTAGGGTTTGGGGGTTTAGGCTTTGGGGTTGTTTCGGGTTTTGGGGTTGTTTGGGGTTTAGCATTTGGGGTTGCGGTTTAGAAAATTTGGTTGTTTCGGGTTTAGGCGTTGGGGCTGTTTCAGGTTTAGGCATTGGCGTTGTTTCGGTTTTGCACTTTGGGGTTGTTGCGGGTTTTGCGCGTTGGGCTGTTTCGGGTTTATGCTTTGGGCTGTTTCGGTTTCGGGTTTAGCCTGTGGGGTTGCGGCTTAAAAGTTGGGCTGTTTCGGGCTTAGGCTTCGGGGCTGTTTCTGGTTTAGGCTTTGAGGTTGTTTCGGGTTTGGGCTTTTGCGTTTTTTAGGGTTTAGCGTTTGGAGTTGTTTCGGGTTTACGCTTGGGGGCTGTTTCGGGTTTAGGCTTTGCGTTTTTTAGGGTTTAGCCTTTGGGGTAAAGTCGAGTTTAGCTTTGGGGCTTTGGGGATATTTAGAGTTTAGCCTTTGGGGCGGCGGTTTGGAAAATTTATTTGTTTCTTGTTTAAGCTTGGGGGTTGTTTCGGGTTTAGGCTTTGGGGTTGTTTCGGGTTCAGGCTTTGGGGCTGGTTCGGGTTTAGGCTTTGGGCTTATTTCGGGTTTAGCTTTGGTGTTTTTTGGGTTTAGCCTTTGGGGTTGTTTCGGGTTTAGACTTTGGGGTTGTAGAAGTGGGCTTGTTTCGGGTTTAGGGTTTGGGGTCGTTTCGGGTTTAGGCTTTAGTGCTGTTTCGGGTTTGGGGTTTGTGGTCGTTTACGCTTTAGGGGATGGGGTCGTTTAGGGTCAGGGTTTGGGCTGGTTTCAGGGGTAGGGCGGATAGGGTTTGGGAGTTTAGGGCTAGGGTTTGGGGTTCTCATTTCAGGCTTTGGATGTAGACTTGTGTGTTGTAAGTTTAGGGTCATTCAGGGTTTAGGTTTGGTATCATGTTCGCCTTGTGGTATTAAGCCCAAGAACGATTCCACTTTGGTTTTGGGGTTGTTCAGGCTTGAGGGTTTGGAATCGCTTCCAGCTTAGTCTTAGCAGTTATTTGGGGTACAGGCTTAGGGGTTGCTACAGGGTTTGGGATGGTTTAGGATTAGGGATTCGGGTTTATTTGTAGAGTTTGGATATGGGGTTTACTGCTCAAGCTTGGGGATTTCTACGGGTTTAAATTAAGGTTGGGGGTTGCTTGGGTTTACACCCTAAACATGGGAAGTCTTGAAGAACGTGGCATGCGCGGCAGTTTTTAAGGATAAAAAAAATACTCTCCTAACAGCACCAAACCCCAAACCCTTACAAACGGCCAAGTCGACACCGCAGAACATGCCAAACCCTTACCTTACACGACTCAAAACCCTCGAACAAAAATGAATAAGCAACTGTCATCACGCCGCACACTGCAACATGTGATCAGACGAACGTAATTGTGGCACACGCAGCTACGGTGCCTCTTCTTTCACAGGCTCCGGGGCCTCTAGGACCACACCCACCACACTTTTTGCCTCGCAAGATTGACAAAGACAAAAAAAGGTTTGGTCAAAAACTAGGCGATATCTTCTGCCCCTCATGTGCCACTATGCTTTGCCAAGCCTTTTTTGTCCCACTCACACTTTTCAGGTGCTGCTCATAGTTGTAGCCTGACTCAAAAATCCCGTGCAAGGTACCATGCAGAACAACTTGGACGTCATCTAGCCCAGCCAAGAGTGAGGCCATCGGGTGGGAAGTAGCAGTCCCCATCCAGCTCATCCTCATCAACATCCTGGAGACTTGCCCATTTCACAGCATGAGTTTATAGGAACGTGTTCTCAAAACTAGCCATGCAACAACTGCAGTCTACAGGCGGGCAAGTTAAGATATGGATGCTGCATCACCGCAGAGCTAACAAAGGCAGCATCTGACCGCATCAGCCCCCCCCGGAGATCCTCACCAAGGCCTGTCAAGTTCAGTTCGACAATGTTCGCATCAACGAGCAGTTTGAGACGCCCTGCCTCCGGACCTCTCCTTCTTCCTTGTACAAGAAATCAAAAACGATTCATTCCAAGCACACGCGCAGCAGTTGTGTAGCAGGTCCTCTTGCCATCACGTTCTTCCTCTTCTTCTTCACAGCCCGGCTGATAGATGGCAGACCTGAGGCCCGCTCGAAACAAAAACAAGCACACACATCATCACCCTCATCGCCCCAGTTCGCGGCAGCTTTACAGCCTGTGCTCCACTGCTCGCAGATTCTTGAAGAAGTGGGGGATGATCGCCCCGAATCGTGCCACAGAATTCTGGATCAAGCCCTCAAGTGTTCTTGCAACAAAGATGCTCGACCGGGGTGCCGGGTCATGGACATCGCAACTCGGATTTTGTTGAATGTGGCCGCTGTGCGCCCACCGCTAAAGGCACTCAGGCCCAGAACATAGCGGCATCAAAAGCTGCAACCTGCGGGGTGGTCTGGGCAGGCTCATGATCGAATAACTCACCTGACCAACAAGATTTGAATCGCCCAACTGAGTGGGTAGCATGCGTAATGGACACGAACGGCGGTTTGCGGAAGGGGAACAGAAAAGGTGGAGAGCTACACGCAGAGTCTTCTGGGCTTCCATTTGTCATAGCTGCAGTGTGCCCCTGTTTGTCGTTAAGGCCACATAACAAGGCTTGGGTCTGCAAAGGGTTTGGGTTTTGGGATTGTTTGGGGTTTGGAGTTTTAGGGTTGTTTAGGGATTAGTGTTTGCGGTTGTTGTGGTTTGAGGAGTTGGGTTTGCTTAGGGCTTAGAGCTTGGGGCTGTTTTGGGTTGAGGGCTGTATAGGGTCTAGGGCTCAGGGCTAGGGCTTTGCGTTTTTGGGTCAAGGTCTTGCGCTCTTCAGCGTTGAGGGTTGTATGGGGTTGACGCTTCGAGGCTGTTCCAGATGCATGTTTTGGAGTTGTGAGGGTGCAGCGTCGTGTGCAGGGTCTAGACATGGAGGTGTTGTCTCAGGTTGGTGCTGCTGAGGGCGTATCTTTGGCATTGTTTGGACTGTGCACTTTGGATTGTTTGGGTCTGGGGTCGCTGAGGGCTTAGGGCGCACATGCGCGAGCACAGGCGGTAAACTTGGAATACGTTTACCATGGGGTTGATACAAAGAAAATAAGGCAACACGAGCCAAGGATATAAGAATCTTTGTTGAGATTTTGCAACACATGTAGTAAGGGATTCGCATCGTGAATAACAAGACAATTGGATTGGAGAATCCTTTTTTGTTGAAGCCAAAAGTGTGTATTTATTCAAGTCAATGTGGTGAGGCCTTGTGTGAAGGGATTTTTGTACGTGAATCGCACAATTTAGCAATGGAGTGTACGAGGAAAATGCAGGGCCAATTATTCGATACTTTTGCCTTAAATTTGACAGGAAAAAAATCTGGAAGCATTGAGATGATTTCGATTCGTGCACAAAAGATTAACTTTCGGATTCTTTGGATATTAGGGCTATAGAATAGGAGCACACTAAATGTAAGCTTGATTTCACCCACATGCAAATGACATTCCCTAACAACATTTTGTTGCATAAAATATGAAGTGCAGTAATTATACAAAGCCCAAAACAAACAACAACTCCTTAATAAGGCCGCCGCGAGAACCAAAAACCGATGCTCCTATGTACTAGGAATAGAATTATCGTTTCTCCGCAATAAAGGTACAAGAGAAGTACAATTGACTTGAAAGAAGTGGAAGCTCCAGTTCCTTGCAGGTGTTTCCTTTGATCCTGTAGAAATTCAATGGAATCACCAGGAGCTTGAGTTCGCTCCTCATACGGAGAGGGCTTCGCACTTTTAATTAGACGCACTTTTGCGTTTGAAAAAAACTTCATTTCACAGGATGCACTATGTATAAGGACCTGCGAAGAATCAAGCCTATGTTCAGAAGAGAGATCTCTCTTCTCTTCAAAAATTAAAAGACCTGCCCTATTAACACCCGCGCTCACCTTTTCCTCCGTCAGTCCCTGTCTCAGGTACACGTTTTCCTCCTGGCCATCTGCGCTGGATGGATGGGGGGTGGGTGGGAAGCAGGTCTGGGAGGGATGGATTTTTTCATGCCGAGCGCCTCAACCGATAAACAGCAGCCAAAATAAATCCTAAATTTGCTCTATACGCTCTTCAAATATGCGTTTATACATCTGTTACTCTCACAATATAGTACTTCCAAATATGAGAATCCAACATCCTCAGAATCCAACTCTCCGAATCCAACGGTAACCGTAGAATCTAACAATTCAACCACGATCAAACAATCCAACCCTAATTCCACAATCCAAGAATTCTAGGTCTGGTTGGCTGGTACCTGCTGGCCTGGATTGTTGGATTGTTGGATTAGAGTTGGATTGTTGGATTGTGGAATTAGAATTCGCAGCAAGTAATATACAGAAAATTCATGATTCTGTTGTTGCTGTGTGTTTGTTGAAGCGCCGAGCATGAGAAATCCTATCACACCCAAACCTGCTTCCTACCCAGCCCCCATCCATCCCGCGAAGACGGCATGGATGAGGAACCCTGTACCTGAGACAGGGACGATTAGAGCAAAAGATTGGTACGGGAGGTGACTATCATATACCCCCTTTTATTGCTTCCTGTCAAATCACTCAACCGCATCAGCAACATTGGCAACAATTTGGAGCTGCATTATCTTGGAATGGGGTTAGACAAGATAGTGTTGCAAAATCATTGGCAACATCGATGTTTTGTGAAACCACCTTGTAAAAAAAAAAAAACGGAACCAATGTTTCGTGATGGCACCCTTGCAAAAACATTTGCAAAACCAATGACTTGTACCTCCACCCCTGCCAAAACATTGGTTTTGCCAATGTTTTTGAACCCCGGGAGCGGAAAACATTGGCAGTGCCAAAAACAAATGATGTCAAAACTATGACTTGGGATCTGCAGCCCATAGTCTGGAAATCGTGTGTTTTTTATTGGCCCTGCCAACGTCTCCGGGGGTTGAAAAACATTGGCAAGATAAATGTTGTTGCAAACATGGAGGCAAAAAACATTGGTGTTGCCAATTTTCTAGCCCCAAAGTACATTGGCAGGGTCAATAAAACCAAAAAAACAAATGATTTTCAGACTATGGGCTGGAGATCCCAAGTCATGATTTGGAAATCATGGCGCGCCCTGCAGAATCATCATCAGCAAAGGTGGGGGTCAATTCTGGGTTCCATCGAGGATACGACATGCTAATGCAAAGGCCAAAAGCCATTTTGAACAGGAACGTATCCCTTTCCCGGGTTACGTTTTGAAACATGATCAGCAGAAATCAGTAGAAAGGGCTTAGCGAGGTTTGGTGGCAGCCTGAGCCATGGGTTTTTGAGTGTTTAGGGCTGCATAGGATTTAGGGCGTGGGAATCTTTAGGATGCAGATTTACAATGCAGTCTAAGGGCTTGGGGATGCTTACAAGGGGCTTCATGTTTCTTGGGTCTGGGACTGCTTAGGGTTAAGGATTGGGAGACTGTTCAGGAAATCGGCTTAGGGGTTCGAAGTTCCTTTTCCGGATTTAGGGTTGGAGGTGGCAGGTCTTTAAGGTTTCGGGCTTGGTGTTGATGAGAGTCTAGGGTTTGGGCTTTATGGCTTGAGGGTTTAGGGCTGCTCAAGGTTTACTGCTTGGTGTTTGTTTGGGTGTAGGGTTTGGGGTGGTTTAGGGTTTGGGGTTGAATAGATTTTCAGGTTTGGGGTCTAGGGTCGCTCGGGGTTTACGGCTTGAGGGTTTATGGCTGCTCAGGGTTTACTGCTTGGGATTTGTTTGGGTTTAGGGTTTTAAGGGTTTTGGGGTCTAGGGCCGCTCGGGGTTTCTGGCTTGCGGCTTTAGGGCTGCTCAGGGTTTACTGCTCGGGGTTTGTTTGGGTTTAGGGTTTGGGGTGGTTTCGGGTTTGGGGTGGTTTCGGGT